TTGAGAAACATAAGTGCTTTTTCACTAATTTAGTGATTATAATTGTCTTATATTTAATAACATAGAAATAAGCCAAGATTCAACAAGAAATTTACACCCTCTGCTCACCAGGCACAGAGGTTCCCTCCCAGGCAACGCTGGTGTTTGATGTCCTGTTGGTGGACATTCATAACCCGAAGGATAACCTCACCATCGAGAGCCAGGTGGTGCCTGAGTCGTGTACACGCAAGTCTGTGGTTGGAGACTACACCCGGTACCACTACAACGGTACCTTCCTGAACGGAGTCACCTTTGACACCAGGTGAGCTCAGTTACCAGTTATATTGGAATTCATCCTGTTGTGTCTGTTTTCCTGTTGTGTTGTGTTTATAATGTGTTTATTTTTTTGGCAGATAGAAAACTTTATCCTTGAGCACTATGACTGTAAAAACACAATCCAGTTTTTAAAGCTTCTCTAAATGTCAACCCATCACATCAGTATATAATTCTAATTTAAAAAAAAAATTTATATTGAACTGTGCTCGTCTGTTACTGCCACCAGCTACCAGAGGAATAGCACATACAACACCTACATCGGGATGGGGTATGTGATTGCGGGGATGGACCAGGCCCTGCTGGGAGTCTGCATTGGGGAGAGGAGGAGGGTCATCATCCCTCCACACCTGGCGTATGGAGAGCAAGGAGCAGGTAAGTTACTGTAATTTTTACTGCCACCTGCAGTAAGATGACTGCCCCGATTGATTAATAATTTGAGTTGATAATAACTGTTGGTTCATTGTTCCACATATGCATCGACATGGAGCATGTTTGGGTCTGTAAGTGGTTGAAACAGGATGTTGGGGCGGGATATAACATGAGGATCACAATCATCGAAGAATGTAAACCAAAAGGATGAAAAACCCTTTCAGTGTTTAGAACCTGCTTGTACTTCAGTACACAGTGAAGTAATTGTAAAAAAACCAGAAAGAAAAAGTAATGGGATTTATACATGTACATATAAATATATAAAAAAGAGGGTTTTTCTTTAGTAGTAAATATTTATCAGAAGAAAATTAATTAATCATTGCTTCATTAATCAAAAAATGCTGGTTATACATTCTGAAATTGAGTTTTGCTGCTTTATTGTGTTTTATATTAGAGTATTAATTCTTCAGACAGACATTAATTCAGTCGGACAAAACACACAATTCACTTGGAGTTCTGGGAAATAAAAAAATTTTATTTAACAGACTAAGAAATCAGGTAACCTAATCATAGCAAGCCACATACTTTCATGGTCACTGAATAAAAAGACTGAATGAAAAAGGCCAAGAACAGATCTCACTGTAGGCCCTCTACTGAACTTGGAGTCCAGATACATCTGAATATGAGCAGAAAACTTCCCAACATTGTTGAGTTACAATGAAAATGAAATGATTATGCGTTTTCTGTCCAGGTGACGTCATCCCTCCTTCTGCTGTGCTGGTGTTTGACATTCATGTCATCGACTTCCACAACCCCAATGACACAGTGGAGGTCCAGATCACTTACAGACCCGAGGTGTGTAACGAGACCACCGGTGTGAACGACCTTGTACGCTACCACTACAACTGCACGCTGATGGACGGCACGCCGCTCTTCTCCTCGTGAGTCACCCAGACATCCCATATTTTAAACACTGATATTGTGCAATATACATAAACATACATTACATCCCCACTGCAATGTGTCCAATAATCCAGAAACGACAATGAGAACCTTCAGGATGCAGTGCTGGGGGCTGACAAGGTGATTGATGGGCTGGACGAGGGCTTGCGTGGCATGTGCGTAGGGGAGAAGAGGGTGATAACGGTGCCGCCTCACCTCGGCCATGGAGAGAAAGGAGGTGAGACTTCTGCTTTGCCTTGTAAGACTAAGAAACAAGAAACACTAAACACACTGTACTCTTCTTTATCAGGACATTGGAGGCTTCAAAGAAACAGCTCATCTGATTCATGAGCCTTTGAATCTGAATAGTTTTTTTTTTTGTTGAGGTACTTCGATGTCAGATTTTCATGAGAAGATTTTGACGTCTATTTGCTATAATGTATGAAGAATGTATAAATATCACAATTTAAGTGTTATTTAAAAAAACAACAAAAAAAACATTTTGAACCCTGACAGTCTTCTCAAAAGTCCAGCGCTACATTTGTAAATATTATTTGATCTTTATTTTGTTCCTTACAGTTATAAAATAAGTGATCATTCAAAACTGAAAACAGTAATGCACAGAGCTCCTAAAAATTATAGCTGTGTCTGAATAGTTGTAGTTTATTACACCTACCGTTCTCAGAATAGAAAAATTATAAACAAGCTACAGCCCAGGCAATAAATAAAAAGGTATATACAAAGATATATGTTTCACAAATACTCTCGTTTGAACAGTGTTTTTCTTACTTTTGCTCCATCAGCCACCGGTGTGCCAGGCAGTGCTGTGTTGGTCTTTGACGTTGAACTGGTGAGCTTTGAGAAGGGAGTGCCGCCTGGTTACCTGTTTGTGTGGCTCCAGGACAGTCCTGCAGACCTCTTCAAAGCCCTGGATATGAACAAGAACGAAGAGGTGCCCCATGAGGAGGTACGTTACTTAAAACTTATTCATTATTTACATTATATTATTGGATCATTTGTTATATTACTAATGTTTTCATGTGCAAGTGGCATTTTACCATAAGAGGCTAATTATACAACAATTATATAATAATTACAACAAATATTTTACAAGATGAATAAGTTTTTTGTATGCAAAATAATAATTTTGCAATGTAACTATTAACTACTAAGTCATACCCAGAAATGTAGTGGAGAAAAACTGCAATATGTCCCTCTGAAATGTAGTAAAAGAAAAGTATAAAGTAGGATTTAAAGTAAGTAACATTTAAATACATAAAATCAAATTTGTATTTACAACAGTACTTGAGTAAAATTGGTGGTGCCAATGATTAAACCCATTAGGATTTGATTCCTCACTTTGGCCCCATCTGGTGGTAACATCAAGAATGACACTGCTGGTTGTTTCACAGAATAATTTCAAGTTTGAGATTCAAAGTGTATTCTTGACCTTGGAAACAGCAATTGACACAATAATCTCACCACTACATCCATTTAGTAGCTGTTCTGAAGCTTTCGATGCTCAGTCATGGAAATGTTCAAATATTAATTTCTGAGCCCTATAAGGAAGCCAACATTCCCGAGATGTTGAAAGTCATTCAAGAGTGTACTGTCGGATATTGCAACACAGGCAGCAAATGTAAAGGCACCAGTGGATTCATAGATACATCAGTGATGCAGCCTGTGAGAGAACAGAAAACATTCTTGATAAAACTGGTTCAAAATCTTATTTAGGGGTTGTACCAAAACGGGTTTAAATGGTTTCATTTTCAAAAAACACCATATTTTGTCATACTGCACATTGCTGCAGGTCCTCTTTTCACCCTGTGTGTTGAACGCTTCATTTTGTTGGGACTTGCACGTAGTTCCTTCCTAGTTAAGGAAAAGCCAATCAGAAGCAGATTAGGGTGGGTCCTGAAAAGCCAGTAAACATGGCTTCGGATCAGCTGTATATCCCCTTACCAGCTTAGCAACATGGACTGGAGCAAGAGTTTCAGAGTGGTGAGTTATTCATTTGTAACAAATGTATCTTTCAGACATAAAGTTTTAACTGAGCTCTGTCTCTACATCACAGTAACAACTTTATGTCCATTGACTGCCTGGAGGGTAACTAATGTTTGGAAGGGAGAGGGGAGGTAGCAGGCGGACGTCTTGTCGCTGTGTGCTGCAGCTCAGTGTTTTTCCACCTGTGTTTTTGAGGGCGTGTCTGACTAGGCGCTTGGCGAGCATTATGAGGCGTATTTCGCTGTGACGTCACAGCAAAGCGGAAGAAAAGGCTGGACTAAAAATGAGCTATTTTCAGGCGGTTCGGAGCAGGATTTTCTGTGGGAGATAGGAACTCCCTTTGGGGTGGACTGGGTTTTTCCACTTTGCAAACGTATTACATACACAAAAAAGATATATAACTTAATAAACGAGAGGGAAAAAGCCAAAAAGTATAATTTGGCCTTTAAATAATGCCTGTATACATGCAGAGTTTTTATTACAGTATTTTCCTTAATGCGAAAAGTCTATTGTAACCTTCTACGACTTGATCGGTGATGCTCTTTTCTCTTTTAATTTCAGTTCGGGGAGTTCATCAAGCTACAGGTGGCAGAAGGAAAAGGTCGCATAAAGCCGGGAATGATCATGGAGCATGTTATTGACGACATGTTCAACAACCAGGACCGGAATAAAGACGGAGTGATCACGCCCAACGAACTCAAGCTGAAGGTAGAAGAGGACAAGGAAAGGGAAGCAGCAAGGCACGAGGAGTTGTGAAAAGGGCAGCTTTCATTCTCTCTCAGGGATAAACCCCAACACCTTAAAAACAAGCAACGAGAGACATTTTCCATTACAGCATCATGGTTTAATTCTTTATGTATCACATTGGACAGTCTTTTTTTAAACAACAAGAAAATAGTGCAGAGTAGGGTCTTTTTGTGAAGTTCTGTGTTGAATGTGTTTATGATAGTTTTGATAGGATTTCAGAAAACCAAACAAGCACCTTTATTTATCCCTGAAAGTCACATCCATTAAAATGTTTAAAAGAAAATATTTTTTGTTGTTGACAAGAAAAATGTGAGGAATAAAAAAATCTATTCCTGAATTGATTTTGCTTTGACATTTCTTCCCCCTCCCAACTCTCCAAACGTGCACACTAAATTGGTGGAATGCTCTTTTAAGCCAGACACCCTGTTGTGAGATCACCTTTAAAAATTAGTAACTGCACGTCAATGAACTGTTGGTTTTAGCTAATACTATCCGATAAAAACACTCAGTTTCTGGGTTATTTTTATCACCAGTATGTGGCATACTGTGCGAGGGTGTCTGGCACTAACATGACTTTGAGACACTTTGCACAGAAATTCTTTCATATACCTTTTAAGAGCAGCTTTAAAAAAAAAAAAAAAAAGACCTGGAAAACAAGGTCTTGGCTAAAGAATAGCCTCTGCCAGGGGAATTTAATCATTGGAAATCAACAGGTTTTTAGCAGTAGCATTTTCAGTGACTCATTTTGCTGTTACAGTGTTTAGGGTTTTTTATTTAGGGTCAAAGTAGTGACTTATTAGAACTATTTTAAAAAGCAGGTAGAAATAATGTATAATATCTGAAAATCTCAACATGTCGTACACCTGCATACTAAAAAAACGCATATGATATGTTTATGATGATATTGGTGGAAAACTATTGGTTACTGCTATAAACTTATTAATATAGGTATTATTAATACTGATGCATCTCAAATAGAATTTATAAGCTGCAACATGATTCACTGCCATCTATTAATCTCATGACCATATTACTGACATAAGACTACGTTGCAAAATGATTATTAGCATACAGAGATCAAATTTTTTATAGAATCCCATAGGACTTGCATGACAATCATTATTTTCCTGAAACATGCTGCTTTTTACCAGGAGAAAATCATATGATAAATAAAATGGCATATTTAAAAAGGAGAACTATAACCTCTAGCTGAGAAAAGCACACTCACAAGTTAGCACACATTCATCTTTTCTTCTAGTGTAACAACAGCACCTACAGTAAAGTGCAAACTAGCTCAAAGCTAAGTCCCAATTTATAGCAGCCAGAGTGTTTCAGATGAAAGACAAAACACCCATTAGGAACACATTCTGCTATACTGTAGCATTGTGTTTGATACTGGCATTAACGTGTTTGTCTTCACTGTCACAGGTTAAAAAAAAGAATTACAAAAAGCTGACCTAAATGGCTTCAAATTAGCTGCACCCTGCAAGTAAACTGTTGATTCAGGTGTACAGTATGTGCAGACATGAGCATCAAGTATTTGGAGTATACATAGAGGTAATATACAGTACACACATAACAAACAGTGTCAGTATGAAGTAGAAGACTTGGAAGATAGAGACATTTAAAAAAGTCTTCGCTCATACGTTACCTTAATGTAAAAGATCTTTAAAAGCATACTGTAAAACAACAAAGTAAAAATTTTTTTTTACTTCGTTTGTACTAAAAAGGAGTAAAAAATAAAATTAGAAATACACGGTGTAATTGTTAATATTAACATTTTTAAAAGGTTGCTGATTTGTTTTCAGGGGGAGGGCTGCTGTTATGTACTTCATGCATTTGAAATAGGACAATAATAATTGTCCCTTCACTAAGGTGGCACATTGCTACAACGTTGCTACGGTTTCTATCAAGATACCTTGTGGATTCCCTCACACAAATTAAAACAGCAGGGAGAAATACTTTTTACTCCAAACTAAGCCCTCTAATATTCTGTGAAGTTGCTGGCATAAATTCCAGATTTTTCTAAACTAAGCTGCAAATGAATGACCTAATTTAGATCTTTTACCCCTTGGAATTTGGTCAGATGGCTTTGAAGCACAGCAGAAAAATACAAGTCAAAACACAGAGAGTGTAAACATTAAAAGTGTGATTTGCACGATTAACCACTCCAGGAGTGGAAAAGTCCCGTTTCAAGGTCTGCATTGAGGTAAGTGATGAGGTGTCCAGCATGCATCTGCGTGTATGTTGGCATAAACTGTCCAGTTCCTCCTTGTGCGTCTTACTTGTTGTCTCTTGATGAGGTAATGTATCTGAGGATGGCGTTTGGGACGTCCATCGTCTCGTCCGTCACCAGTACGATGTCAAATGAGTTGATGTACGAGTCTTTTCTCTCTTCCACCTGAGAGACACAGGACTCAGAGTTAGGACTCAATCTTTAAAACTCAATGTGTTAAAATTAGGTAATCCCAGGATAACACTATACATTAGTCTGACCTGGTCGTTAAGGAAGCCGATAGTGAGGATGTTCTTGTGCCCGGACACCCCGTCAGCCATGGTCAGGTCTCCCAAAGAGTCTCCCAGGAGAAGCACGTTGGGGCGACCCTGCAGCTCTGTGAGGCCAGCGGCATGTGACAGAGCACCTTCCCTCTTGTTGTAGGTGTGGATCAGTTGGCCTTTGAAGGCTGTCAGAACCCCCTTATTAACAAGACAATGTTCAGTGTTAATAATTAGACTTTCATACTTTTACTTAAAGGTCCAGTGTGTAATATTTAGACGGATCTATTGACAGAAATGTAATATAATTTATATAACTATGTTTTTTAGTGGTGTATAAAGAATTAACATAATGAACCGTTATGTTTTTATTACCTTAGAATGAGCCATGTCTATCTACATACACCGTGGGTCCTCTTACATGGTTGTCGCCATGTTGCAGGAGAACGACTTCACAACTCGGGAATGGGACCATCCAAGGAACATGTGAATGCACTGTGAGAAGCTGGTTGCAATTTGCAACCCTCATCACTAGATGCCAGTAAAACTCACATTCTGAACCTTTAAGTAAAAGTTCCTTTTTGGAAAAAATGCTGCTGCATTATGCATTATCCTGTATGGCAGCTTTGCATGATTCAAAGTTCAAAGTCTTATACTGCCTCTTCATGTAGGCCTTCATTTCAGCGTCTGTCAAGCTGTAGATGCTCCTGTCTCTTTAAGGCCCCCCTCTCAAAGCCCACTGTCTTGTGATTGGCCAAGACCAGAAGCATATTAACAGGCTGTTGTTGTACCGACTGAGCGTTGCTGTGCTGAGCACATGACCACATATGGAACACCGCCCCGTCTGGCTCGTATTACGTACAAGGAGCAGTTGGTATAAAACGCAGTTCAAAACAGAGCATTCAGAACAGGAGGAAATCTGAGGTTTTTGCTCACAGGGATTTCTTTTAAATACTTTAACCTCGTTATTTGAAGCTTTGACCATGTTTAACATCAACATCCAACATTATAACATTGTAGATAAGTCATAAAATGTGGAAAAGCATAATAGGTCTCCTTTAATGTGTTTGTAGCATTTTACTGCTGTTTATTTTTAAGATTGAGCTCATTTTAACTTGTATAGTTCCTTTCTAGTCTTCCAACCACACAAAGCGCTTGTGTTTTTGTACTGTATATTTCAGTAAAGTCAGTTTACCATTTCTGGCTCAATGATGAGGCATTTGGAAATGGCAAGGTCATACCTATTTACTTAAGATTTGCTTAAACTCTTATTTTTTACCTTTTTGCAAAATGAACCAACACAAAGAGAAAGATCTTGGGTAGATAATAAATATGAAACACAATTTAAATAATACTCCAAACCTCTCTAAACTAAAAAGAACATATTTATGTTTTAAAAATAAATAGTCAGATATCTTCTCAGCTATCTAAATATTATGCAGGAGCAAGGACGTTTATGCAGTGATGCAGATGGTATGAAATCCCCGTAAAGCCCAGTGTGGTCAAACTCACAGTTTGGTCAAAGTCCATGTAGTTGGAGATGATGTGGACATTGGGATGGAAGACGAGGTTCTGTCGAATCACCTCCTCCAGGACATCTCCAACACCGGCCGAGAAGATCAACAGAGGGACCTGTTGCTCCGCCAGACGGTCAAAAAACACTTTGTAGCCGCCCCTAAAGAAATCACACACACCACTGATCAGAATGGTGCAATCTGTTTAGCATGAATGTTATTTTAATAAAGTTATTGTAATGTTTTCATTTCAGATTACCTCAGATTTTTCAGTTTTCTTTTTGTGTGACAGTGGAATAAACTTACTGATGTAGCTTTATACAGCATATGGTTACAATCACATAGCTATAGCAAAATTTAAAACTTCCAAAAAATACATAACAGGTATTTGATCAATTATTTTTTCTCTGTAGAACCAGGGTCTTGGTTATTGGTGTGTACCTGAGCATAGCGCTGGATTCCTTGACAGCCCGGGCCAACATGTCTTTCCTGATCCTCTGCTGAATCAGCAGCTTGTGGACTTTAGTCCACCTGTGTTGAGCAGCACAAGACAAATTAACAGGATTGGGCTTGAAACACTTTTCTATTGTCCTTCCAGGAAGTGGAGCTTCAAATACTGACAGTATAAAATACTAAAACATATTTTAAAATAAAATGTAATTGTTTATATGAGTATGTTTGTTTCTTACCACTCCACCATGTGAGGCAGCTTTTCTTCTGCAGTCCTTCTAGGATCAATCTCTATGGGATAGTAGGTGTTCAACAGCTCCCTCATCTACAGTGGACCAACACAACATACTGAGCATTTACTGTATTTAAGACCACCTGCAGGGGATGTTTCAGCATGTACTTGCTGTTCTGTATTCCAATTATGCAGAATCACAAACCAACAAACATGAGTTTATCTAGCAGGTCTAATAAATGACCTTATGACTGTAGCACATTCACCTTTTTAGTGCACTCTTCACTGATCAACAACCGGTTATCCAGGATGTCTGACAGAAGCAAGGAAAAAAAGATCACCGACATTCAGACAGTCAATTCATAAATTATTTGGATCTAATAATGCAAATGTTAAGACTCTACCACATCATATAAGAGTCAGTTATCTGTAGCCTGTGAGCTTACTGTGCGTGGTGGGCACTCTCTTGCCGTTGTGGGCAAATCTGGTCAGTGTCATATCGAAGTCTGAGATTACCTGAGGAAATATGACAATAAAGAACTGAACAATAATACTCTATCACACAGCAAACACTACTTTTGCATTTTTGTATTTATTCATAAAGAAATAAAAGGACATATGATCAGTAATCTGTCCTCCTGTGAGGGCTAAGATTTTGATGATGGAGCAGGAGTCAAATCTAATTTATATTCTCACTCCTGATGTTCACTCACCTGCAAGCTGCCTGCACCTTCTCGCTGCATGGCGTGGATTGTCTCCTCCACTCTGCTGCGCTCTCTCATCACTACCGAGCACTTGGTCAGCCCTGGGATCTGAGCAGAAAAGAGTTTAGTCTGACAACGCATATATATATACAGACAGTCAGAAGGAAGGCAAGGGAGCAGAAAATGAGGAGGGCAAATGCAGATTTCAGGGAGGCTATACTGGAATACGTTACATGCAGTTACAAATGAAACTTCCACTGTCTTTATTCAGGGGAGCTTTCTCACCTCAGGCTTGGTCAGCTGGTGCCATATTGCCAGGACAGTCCGCACCGGTGTGTAGATCCAGGGGACATGGTATATCTGCATGTATAACCAAGGAGAAAACTCATTTAGGTAATGCTTACAGGTCCAGAATTTAGGTCAAAAGAATTTCCTTGGACATGACTGGTCATTTGGTATTTTAGGGAGAATATAGACAGTGTGCAATTGTTCCACTAAATTAATTCACAGTGTAACTCAGGGGAGTCTTTTAGGCAGCTTAGCGGGATTTGCTTGCAGGCAAGCATATAATTCCAGGGCTCTCAAGTCTCACACATTCACCGTGAGACACACACAATTTTCTCACACTGAGAAGTAAGTTAAGAGATAACGTCCCCGAAGTTGTCCCGCTATATTCAATGGACGATCATTTTTGTGCTGGGTTCATAGCTTTCTCTGTAGCCTACTAAATTCCAGAGCCGTTAAGCCGATCAGAAATTAAAATGTGTTGTTTTCGGGTGAACTCCGTGATCCCGCTGTAAGCTCGTTCGTTTCCAGGGAAGCATTAAGCATTCTGATTTTACAATTCAGCCAAATGCGTGATAAATTTTTATCGAAGATGCAGTCAAAAACTCTGCAACCTCTTTGGTGAGCTAAGTAACTTAGGCCTATTCATATCCTTTAAAAAACTAAAAGTACCAATACCTCACTGTAAAAATACTCTGCAAGTACTGCATTGAAAAAGTTAAACAATAGTATGTAAGTAGGCTATAAGCAGGAAAATGTAGAAGTAGCCTATTAAAAATAAAAGTAGCCTACTTAAAGCAGAAAGAAAAAAGTCCCATATGACTGTAACTATTATATATTATATCACTAGATTATTATTACTCATGCATTAATGTAGCTGGTTGAGGTTGAACTATTTTGTATCAGACTGCAATTAACGCTTATTTTTATTATGTATTAATCGTACAATATTTCCCTTTGAGATGTGGTGAAGCACTTTTTTTTCATTTGAACTCAAGTTCAGTACAAATACTTTGTGTACTTAAGCACAGTAGCCTACTACTTTGTTACTGTCCATCACTGGACTTAGCTTTGGCTAACTGAAACGAAGGAAAGGAGATGTTTTTCAATATTTTGGCTCTGGAGGGAAAGCTATCATCCATCAAAATGGTGAAAATGGCTGGCCTTTAGCCACAGTGCTTCAAGTGGGAGTCCCCTACCCCTGTAATCAAGGCATTAAAATGTGCAACAATCAATTGCAACACAAAACACCATTCATAAGATGAAATGTGTACACACACAGCTTGGCATACATGCATTGGGCAAGTTCTGCCATCCAACTGTAGGACTATGTGTACAGCACTGCTACACACATAGCCAAATTTCTTTTTAGTTTTGATACATTTATATTTTTGAAATACAAGTTTATATATAAATAGTATTTTATCAGATTTACCAATTGTTATTCCATTTATTCGTGCCAATTATGAACTATAGGTAAAATTTAACTGCTAGTAAAAACTTGAGAGAATTGGCTGGGGCTTTTGATAAAACTTGAGAGCCCTGTAATTCAATATATGGAGAATAAAGTTTCCAATGAATAAATATTCACTTGTGTTGAAATTGAGCTGTTCGTTAAAGTAAATTCCTGTTTTCCTTATAATTAGTTCCAACCTACATATACATACATACATACACACACACATATACATATACACACACACACACACACACATATATGCAGTGTATATATGTATATATGTATATAATACACATATACACGCACACACATATATACAGTGTATATATGTATATGTATATACACATATACACGCACACACATACATACATATATACAGTGTATACATATATACAGTGTATATATGTATGTGTATAATACACATATACACACACATATATACACACACACACACATATATGTTTTTATATATATGTTAATTTAAGACCTATATATATATATATATAGGTCTTAAATTAGGCCTAGTGTTAATTTGTTACGTTACAGCCAACTAACGTTGTAGCTACAGTGTAACGTTGTAGCTAACAATAACAGTTAGCTAACGTTAACTAAATAACAACAGACAAAAGTAACTTAGCTTAATTAGGTACACGAGTGTAGTCATTTCACACTATATTCGCTATAAAAAGTGCCCTATATTTGAATCAACAAAGCTCGTACTTCGTTTTTTTTTTTTTTTTTTTAACCAAACTTGAACTGACTGGCTAACGTTACTAACTTCGTGTTTACGACTGCAATGGTTACCATTACGTAACTAACGTAACTTACCATTTTTTAGACGGAGAACTGGCCGTAACAGCGAGGAGTTATTGGGAACAACCGTTAAAAGGTCATACTGTTAAAAATCAAGCTGTATGTATCTGAAAAAATACAGTAATTAAATAATGTAAGACATTATAGAACACTGGTGCTTCGAATGATTTGTTTGTTGTTGACATAGGTTGTTAACTGTATGTTGCACCCGATTCATTCCCCCGGTAACTGCCATGTAACAAACATAAAGGTTCCGCCGCACCTTACTTCCGCCGCACTTTAGTTCCTCCTTCACGGAGTGTATCCCCCCCCCACACATCAACTACAGCTGCGCCCTTGAATTAAATTGAAAACACTACAGTTTTTTAGCTGATTAGCACAGAAACATGAGCGAATTTGGTGCAAGTCTTTTCCTACTGTGAGCAGGGAATGGTCAGATGACGCATAAAACACGTCTTAAAACTAAATGGTTATATACTTGTTTTGATCAAAATGATTGCTAGGGAAAATTAAGTAGTTGCTTGACATTGGTAGGGACAAATGTATACTAAATTCTACACCCTTGGACACTACATTACAGTAAATCCATTCCATTGAATTAAATTAGATTACATAACTTTATATTAAACATGAAATGACAGTTCACAACATTAAATCCATTAGATTAAAGTACATTACATTAAATTCATTAGATTACATTACATTAAAGATTTTAAAGCTACATGGGGCTTTATTCCCAAAGAGTCTCATTTTAGCATTGAAGGTCCTCTTAAATGGTAGAGGTTAATGGTATTTACTCCTAAGATAAAATAAAGGGAGGGGTTTACCCTGTTATATGGTTAACATCATATTTCAGAATTAATTTGGTCATGTCCACGGTGACAGATTGACAAGTGACATGTTTGTCAGTGAGTGTGAAATAAAATATTCATCAATAAGCATTAAAAGGAATTGAATAGGATTAACTTGCTATATTAAAGCTATTACATCACATTAAATCAATTTCAAAACCATTACATTAGATGAGAAACCATTTAATGCAATACATTACCGGCTTTCAGGCACACCAATAATAAAGCTTTGAAAGACATATGATTTTAAAGCTTCACACCAATTAGCCTTTTTGATAGTTTATATATATATTCTCAGGATAGCACTTAGAATAAAGCTGCAATAAGTTACATGTTAGTGGCTATTTATATAAATCTATGCCCAACTTCCATAAAGTAATAACATTCATCTAACTAACATTCATCGTCTATGTTATTTCTTAAAGTGTAATGTGATATACAGGTATATTGCTTAATTTAAATGTTTTATTGTTAAACATTTGTACATCTAGACCACTGATATCAACTTGTATGGCTTTGGCAACTAACTTGTGGGGGTTTCCCTGCCATAACAAAGATGCATATTTGTAGATAGATAGATAGAAATAACAACAAACATATTTTATAATTTATTGCAAATGTTTGGACAATTGCAGCTCTTGTACATACAAATGGAATGACACAATATGTAAAACATTACATGTGGCTGTATGAAATCTTCAAACACAAACTCAAATGTGATATTGATATACTAAAGCCAATCACTAAAACCTGCCTATGTCTGTTACATTTTGCAGTAATCCTGTGGTTTCTCATGTAAAGTACTGACATGAGAATATTGGCTTAAAACAAATTCTCGAAAATTTAACAACCTCCACATAGAACTGATCCAATTATTTTCATTTGTCAATTAATACTGCTCACATTATGTACAGTATGTTAGTGGGAAAACATTAGGCACACAAAGCCTTTTTAGATTATTTCTAAACTATTTGGCTGGGGTTAGTACTCGCAACTTTAACAGTAATGGAGAAATACACCGAGCGCAGCAACTGGTCCACACAACACTGCATTTAGAGTCTGAAGATTGTAGTCAAAAAAGCAACACTGTGCAATGTTCAAGTTAACATTCAAAGTCATTTAGTGCAGGAAATACAATTAATTCAACTGTATTAATCAGGGGCAGTTGGGATTTTATGGCACAGGTGGCAACATGGAGAGAACAAAGCTCAAAAACAGACTCCTGTTTAATGCGTTTCACACATTTCATGGTCTTTCCACAGTGCAATGTCAGCATCTAAACATGAGCTCTAATTCACAAAGTAAGAAGCAGAGCAAATTCTGCCAGAAGCACAGAGGCAGAGCAAAACCAAATAAATCCATTAAACCAACCAGAAATAGAGCTTATTTTCCCAATATTTGCTTTGCTCAATACTTGATTCTCGCTAAATAAATTCAGATAAATGATTGTCTATTTCACTACGTACACACTTTATCCGATCACCATTTAAATATTTCAATCCCTTCAGTGCAAAAAGTTAAAACCAGGGTGGAAAATGGAGGTAGAAGAGAAAGTAGATGCGAGTAGCAAGAGGAGTCAAAAGTTAAAGCTGATACCTCTTTTCTTCTCCACGCTGATAATATATAATTTTCTTCTAACTTACACTTCACAATAAATGTAGACATCATTTACTTTGTTAGGTTTACATCTCAACACCAGATTTCACAGTAAAGTGTAACTGGTGACTGTCATACTTGTATTCTAACTTGCACCACAACATAAGCTGACATCATTTAGGTGTTAACACAGACCACATACAAAAAGCTAAGCTAAGTTGTTAAGCAATGACATCAACAATCTCTTCAGAAAATGCCACATCAATCACAGTATAATTTACTAGCAGTATAAGGCATAAGATAACATAAGGCCAACATGATTATGTAAGACTTGATCATTTAGTAGCCTAAATAATTATTTCCTGCAAACCATCCCTGCGTGAACCTATGCAGACATTTCACATTAACTAAGCCAAAAAATAAAATTAAAGTTTTGCAGCAACAGCAAGGCCTTTTTATAAAAAATTAAGTGCTAGCTAGACGAGGCAGAATGTCACATTTGTGCAGCTTTTGAGCTCAGCATTCGATTTGAGACTGCAGCTGTCTGCGCAGGGTGAGGGTGCGCCGATGGAGCTGCTGCATCTGTTGCATGCGCTCTCGCTGGTGAGCCAGGTTCTGGGGCATGGGGTAGCGCTGGCAGCCGCGGAGGTACTGGTACGGGATGCGAACGTGGCAGGCTGCGGCTCGACAGCGTGGCTGAGGTAAGGGTGGCAGCAGCAACCAGCGCTTCCTCTCAGCACAAAAACGGTAGGCCTCTTTGCGGTACTGCTTGTCCATGTTGTTGCTGTTCCTCCACCCACCAATGATGAATACGTCTTCACCCAGGTAGCAAACAGCAGCGCCTTCCATGCTGAGGACCTCTGGAGGGAGGCTGTCAAGGAGGTCGTCAGGGATGTTTCTGCTTATTTTCTGCTGAGCATCCTTAGCTGTTACTTTGTAGCTCTTGGCGCAACAGGAAGCTGTGTGGTAGAAGTTGGTAGATGCAACGGCCATTTGAAAACTGCAGTAATTATCGATGAGCGGTAAGGAGTCCACTTCCTGCCACTTTTGACTCTCTGTATCGTAGCAAGTGGTCACAGTGCTCAGTCCATCCTCACTGTCCAAGTCTACGGGGGTCCTGGCCATCACGTACACGTAGCGGTCCTCAATGCTCACTGTTTTCACATCTCGTAGTATCTTTGGTGCCGGGTCAAGATTTTGCCACTCGTCCTCCTCAGGCTCGTACACAGTAACATCCTTAAAGCCTGGACTGAAGTTGCCATGACCGCCGATGCTGTAGAGGATGTCTTTGACACATGTGAGGCCGAAAGAGTGCTTGCGGGTGGTCAGGCTGCTGACCTGCTCCCATGTGTTGAGGTTGGGGTTGTAGCGTTCCACCGTCTTGGCAAAGCTCGGCTCCATGGAGCCCGCCACATAAACATGGCTGTCAGTGGCTGCAATGGCATGTCCGTCAAGGTGGTTATGAATGTGTGGCAGGTTGACCCAACGGTCCTCTGCAACAAAGTAGCCCACACACTCACTCAGATAGTCTCCGCCTTCTGAAACACCACCCACTACCATGATTACATCCATGTTCTGGCCAAAACGTGGCTGGAGTGCTGCCCTGTAGGAGGCACAGGGCTCTACGTCAGCTGACTTGAGGCTCTCAAGGCGAACAGCATGGGCCTCGAGGGCTTCAGACACCAGCTGTCGACAAGCTGCACTGTTTGCCACTAAGGGCTCCTTTCTCACCACCCGCGTCAGGTAGGTAGGAGCAATCTGAGGCAGCCTTAGAAGCTTGAACAGCTCCTCAAATTGCTTCTCTCGCTCCTCTGTGTTTTGGTGCACCCATTTTACGATGGCCTCAAACAACTCCTGTTCCGAATCTACAGTGATCTCTGAGTCTGACAGCCAGTCCCGCACCAGGTGAAATGGCAGAGTGTAGAATTCCTCGTTGTGGATAACTTTGTGGAAGTTTCTCCTAATGGTCTTGGCAGCTCCGTTGGCCAGCTGGTCCAGGGTGTACATGTGGGCGAGGCTGTGCACAGCCACACAGTTGGACAAGCTCAAATTCTTAATCAGAAACTCTCCACAGAAGGACTTCAGCTGCACCAATAGGAACCTGTGTGAACATTATCAGAAAGTTTTGACAGATGTAATAAGCTTTATGTAACATGGATTCCCAGGAGAAACCAAGACACCCTGTCTGCTAGGAAGCCTTTTATGTATGTAGTGGTTTTCCTTTGAATTGTGTTTTTTAAAGATAATTATTTGGGGGTTTTTTCCGACCTTTTTCGATTAGAGAGGCAGACAGGAAACACGGGAGAAAGCTGGCTGGAATCGAACTGGTGTCCAGTTGGCTACCAGTGTGTTCTCCTTCTTTTGAATTTTTGTACTGGCGAGAAATATTGCCAAGGTATTTCTTGCACTTATCTAACCTTTAATACAGGTCTGTAGAGTTTTTACTTGGCTTGCAAAGAATATCAGTTGTTGTTTCTTAAGTGCTTGTTAAGCCCAACTACCAAACAGCATGGGGCCAACTCAACCAATCTTTGAAATCAGCGTTCGGCTTAAAATTTAACAAACATCTCATTACAATTACAATTTTGTTGCAGATAGCTTCCTTAAGTGCTACTTGTTGCAGCTAACTGGCTGGGTTTTTCATATACACAGGTCACCTCAAACTGCTTCTAAAATATACTATTAAAATACTGTTATATATAATGGGGATCGATGAATAGTTTAAAATAGGCCTTTTTCACAGCAGAAAATCACAGGTGTCACCAATAATATTAATAATGGCTCTGTTCAAGTGCCAGTAAGCCATGACCCTGAAACTAAAGCAGTTACAGGGAATTCAGCTATCATTAAAGTTATAATTAACACCTGTGCTTTTCAAACTGTCAAACATTCAATTTCTAGTTTTCAAAACAAAATATTATACAAAATATTTGTTTTCAGTTATTCTGGCGGATTAGACCTTTGCTTTGACCAGGTTGAAGATGGGTGTAGCTATGATGGGAATTACATGAGGTCACCAGTTTCCATGTTTTAACAAATAGTGAAGGTGTAACAGCAGGAGTTGTCAGTCAAGCACATCCTGTAAACCCTAAACAGTCCTAAAAATAGGTTTAATCAGGTAAGAGTGAAAATACCTGCATGGGCGTACCAGGGCTGTGTAAAGACTTTAGCAATAAACAAACATAATGAGTAATGTGTAAACTTCAGCCACATCTTTTCCCAGCAGGCTCATTCTGGTAATAGCATATGTAATTCAAGACTGTGTTAAGCCATATTTGAGCGAAACGATTAGCCAATTGACCAAAAATTATTAAATTGGCAACTATTTTGATTATCAAACAAGTATGCAATTTATTAAGCAAAAATTAACTGGTTCCAGCTTATCCAATGTGAGTATTTGTTGGCTTTCTTAGTCTTATAGGATATCAACATAAATATCTATCTGCTGGTATAATGAGCAGACAGGTGTGGCTCACTTAATCCCTAGAAACATAGACCTGTACAATCACTGCCCAACACTTCCTTGTATTTAAGCAAGGGGGAAAACAATGCTCTTTTTCAGATTAAATATATGGTTTGAAAAATACCTGTCAGCAAGTTCCAACACTTCATGTACATTGGCGCTGGTTACCCTGATCTCTCCTGTGTACATAAACTGCATGACTCGCTCCACTGTTTCTGGGTCTGGTCCGGTTGTGGAGCTCCATTCTTTCAGCTCCACTCGCCCTGACACAGACTCTGAAAACTGTCCGCCGAGCAGCAGCGTGAAGTACTGCGACGCCGCGGATAAAACGGAGCGGTGGGCGCTTATGGTTTGGACCCTCTCCTCCCCAGAGACCCCGATGGAGCTGAAGATCAGAGTCGCGTCGCAGAACAGCCCCGTCTTCCTCTGCTCGTTCTGCCGCCGGGAGAGCTCGGAGCAGTAGGCCGAGCAGGTGAACTCCTCGGCCTCCTCAGGTTCCCAGTCACCTGTTCGCACTACCGGCGCGCCGCTGCTCCGGCCACGGTCCTCCGGCCCTTGTGCTGCCGCTGCCATACCGCAGCGGGATAGACTCGGAGGCAAACGCAAGCACTGAACTATCTTCGGGAAGACCTCATAGGCATATACAACACACGCAAATAAACATTCAAACACGGACATGCATGCGCAGCGTCCGCAGCCGTGGTCCGAAAACAGGAGTGCTCGCTTCCGTGTTTTATTCCAAATGTAACCTCAGCATTTTTTTTTTTTGATGTAGTGCCAATGGGAGGCTTGCGGATTCAAGCTAGTACCTCTGCTCACACACGAGACCCATACCCCTACCGCAAATACAGAAAAGTCCGAGGTGTTGACAATGTTTTCATTCTATGACGCATTAACACGTCTTATTTAGCGATATGTAACTTTGTTTAACGCGAAGCACCGTTTTCGCGCATGCGGGTTGCGAATAATCTAACTGCTGGTGAAGTTCACTGGGGCTTATGCATCCTGTGGTTAGGTTTACATCAGTTTAATAACTGACACGTTAACCTGCCTGCTGGCAAGCGTAATATTAAATGTCTGTTATTAATGTTTATACTTTGTATAGTCGCAGCTAGCTTTCCCCCGTTTTACTATTATACTGCAGGCTGTAATACCGTATTAATAAGGAAAGAAATAAAGGCATTTGTCGTTGTGCACAAATTTTATTGACCTCGTTTTGCATGTGGGTGCAACAAAAACGTTAGAAGAGAAGCACAGAAAACTGTTTTAATGGATTTAGACTATTACTGTGTTGTGTGGTGTCAGCTAATTTTAGCCTCTACCTCTTCAGACAAAATGTACATTTTCGATTGGACTTTTGTCTTGAGTTCACCCTCCTTTAGAAGTCAGTAGTGAAGAGTGCCACATAGTTAATATTTATGCCACACACAACAGTTATTAAAAAGTTGGTAATACATGAATACAGATGAATAAAATGTATACTTTCAGTAAACTAAATTTATAACTTTTACCTTTATTTTGGGCAGTTTCAGGCTCTAACGTACATTAAGTCTCCATTTGTCCACTTGAATTAACATTTTCCTTCTTTGTTTGACCCTGGAGCCATAGACCCAGTTCATTAGCAACTTTTTTTTGCACTTTAGTTCTTTGAAATCAGTGTTCTGCTAAAGTTCTCTCGCATCAAGCATCTCTCACATCAATTGTACAAAAGGGCAATTCTTTTAAACCTTTATGTTGATGGAAAAGGGGGTTGCGGACACCTTCCTTTAATCAAGTACAGTTAAAACCCCGTCAGTTTGTTTCTGGCTCATCCCCTCTGGTCATAGATCATACACAGATTTTGACATTATACTCTTCAGTCAAAATGAAAAGTAAGACAATAAGTTCTTTATTATACTACTATATGACAGCATGTTACAAAAAAACCCAACATTTTTTCCACAGTTAAATATAAACAGCAAAACAAAGATCAAACAGCAGGCCATACAGCGGGCAATTACAAAGCGTTTTGGTTGGTGTCAAGTATTTAGTGAAAGTTTAACAGACCCGACACCTGTATTATGTGCAATCATTTCCCCAAGTAAAGCAAACCGCTTTCATGGTCCCTCGCCAAAAGATGCTTTCAAACACTCACAGGGCTCATTCATGAAACATGTTTGTCCCCTTTTGATGCTTCTACATTTTCCTGTTGTCTGACAGTTATTCAGAATAGCAACACAGAGACCTGACAGCTCAAAACTGCATCTAATTTACAGAAGCTGATGAATTTCAACCACTCGTTTAGAACCAGGGTTGTTGTAGGAAAGGCAATAGTGGAGTGAGACTTAAATCATTGTGTTCCTTCATTGCATTCCTTTATCCCATTACAATACCTCTTTTTCAAAACATAAGATCTGGGTAAGCTCTGTAACGTCAACCACCGGACCCTGCTTTATTTTACTTTTAATAAAGACAACAAATTCATAAAAATAACTTTGGTTTCTCTTGAGATGACAAAGATCTTTCTCAGTGGGAGTGAAACTTGGACAAGGAATTCAAAAACAGATTTTAGATAGATTCGCTAGTGTTGAAACCAAGGTGCAATACTCTGAAAGCCAAAAAGTAGACTTAAGCACACTTTCTTGTGGCATAAAACAGGCAAATGTTGATTAAAACAAAATCATTTTCTCTAAGAAGTATTAAAAAGACATGATAACTGTATTTCGGAGCTTGAACAAATCGGCAGCCGTTACCGCAGATGAACTAATCAGACTCCGTAATGCAGGAGTCCAACTACACAAAGCAGGGTTCTTTGCATTTTTTTTTTCCCCCCCAAAGTACCAATTAATTTTGTGCTTCTGCAGCTGCTGCAGTTTACATTGGTTTGGCTCTTCATTGAAAACTAAATAACTTACATCTCAGACTTTAAATAATTTGTCAAAAAACGAAATCTGAAAATATACGTCCCCCTTTTTTCTCCGTAAAAACTAGATCAAAAAACCTCTACCCAGATCCCTCAGTCAGACAGTACTTTCACTTTCCAGAATCATCCTGCCCAGTTTGACCAAGGCAGCTGTGGTCACAACCGTCAACCACAACAGTCACATCTGGAAGTGCAACCCATTCTGTGATGTGGGAATTACATGGACATATGTTCTGGGAGCACATAAGAGATGTCATCCCAGGGGTGGCGATACAAACCCTGTTTCAGCCTCTTCTGGTCCAGGTAATGTCCTAATGTTAAGACAGACACAAGTTAGATGTCTTAATATATTAATACTTGGAAAGTTAGTGTCATGGCCCTATCTACATGGGACTCACCAATAAAGCCCATACTACGGCCGAGGACAAAGATCCCATTTAGTGCACCGATCTCCACAAACTCGTCAGCCTCATCTCTGGAACCAGTTCAACATTGATGTGAGAAACAATAGTGGTCAGTGTGCCATCCGCACAGAAAGCAACAATCCAGACAATGCACTCTTGGCAGTACTTCAAAATTTGTATTGGTGATAAAATGCATCCGTGGATACTGGATTGACACTTCCACCTCAGTTTCTCCATGGCATTGCAGTTTGATATTCTTACCGTGTGAAGCCACCACACGTTCTAAGCAGGTCCACAAAGGCAACACCAATAAAACCATCTACATTGAGGATCAGGTTGGGTTTCTGAGAATAAGAAAGAGAAATGAATTGATCTAAATGTCAGAGGAATATCAGTAAGCCAGCCAAACTGAACATAAAGGAAAAGGTTATGCACACTAATGTGTCACATTAAAATGTTGTGTGTTTGTCAGTCAAATCTTATTTGTGTCTTCATATGTTTTGCATCTCTACCTTGGAGGTGGTGATCTTCTCAACGTCTAGGGCATAGTCGAGCAGCTGGGTGGAGGTGAAATGCTGCTTAACAAAGTCCTTCAGGATCTGCACCCGCATGTCTGGGTTGTTAATCTGAAACGGAGATATAACATGTATCAACTTACAGCGTTTGTTTCAATGAATTAATCAAACAAAACAAAAATAAGTTCTAAACGGTAAGGTAATGCTTTCATTTTAGTTTGAAAGTAAAGAAGAATTATCCATTAGGTATATTCTTAGCAACTCTATAATACAATTTAAAAATACCACATTTATGGATCTCGATTATATAACTTGAGGTAGTGTGAAAAGCTGCCTACTGATTTGACCCTGTGGCCGATGCCCATTATCAGCTTGCCATCCTTCTTCATCTTGTTGACAAACTCCATAGGCAGCATGCCACTGTCGAATGCCTTGCTGAACTGCTTCGCAGCTGCATCCAGAGCTCCTCCAAAACGATCCCCCTGGAATTTATGAATAAATCATATTTCAGTACAAAAAATACTTGGCCAGATTAAACAATCTGGCCAAAGCAGGTAGTAATTAGTAAAAGATAAGAGAGACGTGGAGATGAGAGCATTTCTGTTATTTGTGCTAGCTCAAGATGCTGGCACAGTGTTTGTGTGTGAGCAGTACTGACGATAGTGAGCAGCCCAGAGGTCAGGCTTGAGATAAGGTCCTTGCCAGCACGAGCACAGACGATGGTGTTGTGTGCACCAGAGACGGCAGGCCCGTGATCAGCAGTCACCATCAGGCACATCTCAATGAACTGGCAGGCATAGCGTGGCAACCTAGACAGAAACACAGTAACGCTTATTCCACCAGGAAAAATAAAAATAATCGAATGTAGTAACTGATTAATACCAGTTGTCATCCTAACCTGCGTTGGAACCAAAGCAAGCCCAGCACTCCTCCTAAACCCATCTCCTCTTTAAAGACCTCAGTGATGGGCATGCCAGCGTAGATGAGCTCCTGACCTCGCTCGTCACAGATGCTCGTCATGAATGAGGCTGGCTTACGGATCAGGCCCAACTCCTGGAGGAAGTCCAGTGCAGAGGAAAACAAATTTAAGATGGGTTCTAACACACAGGCAATGAAAATGTTTGTACAGTGTGAAGCAGAGATCAGTGTCGGCCTATGTCAGCTGATAGGTAACAAGAAATTGCAGTACACAAACGCAGCTGATACAGGTGCTGGTCATATAATTAGAATATCATCAAAAAGTTGATTTATTTCAGTAATTCCATTCAAAAAGTGAAACTTATAACTGACAACTAATGAAAACCCCAAAATCAGTATCACAGAAAATTAGAATATTGTGAAAAGGTTCAATATTGAAGACACCTGGTGCCACACTCTAATCAGCTAATTAACTCAAAACACCTGCAAAGGCCTTTAAATGGTCTCTCAGTCTAGTTCTGTAGGCTACACAATCATGGGGAGACTGCTGACTTGTCCGCTATCCAAAAGACGACCATTGACACCTTGCACAAGGAGGGCAAGACACAAAAGGTCATTGCTAAAGAGGCTGACTGTTCACAGAGCTCTGTGTCCAAGCACATTAATAGAGAGGCGAAGGGAAGGAAAAGATGTGGTTAAAAAAAAAAAAAAAAAAAAAAAAAAAAAGTGTACAAGCAATAGGGATAACCGCACCCTGGAGAGGATTGTGAAACAAAACCCATTCAAAAATGTGGGGGAGATTCACAAAGAGTGGACTGCAGCTGGAGTCAGTGCTTCAAGAACCACCACGCACAGACGTATGCAAGACATGGGTTTCAGCTGTCGCATTCCTTGTGTCAAGCCACTCTTGAACAAGACACAGCGTCAGAAGCGTCTCACCTGGGCTAAAGACAAAAAGGACTGGACTGCTGCTGAGTGGTCCAAAGTTATGTTCTCTGATGAAAGTAAAATTTGCATTTCCTTTGGAAATCAAGGTCCCAGAGTCTGGAGGAAGAGAGGAGAGGCACAGAATCCACGTTGCTTGAAGTCCAGTGTAAAGTTTCCACAGTCAGTGATGGTTTGGGGTGCCATGTCATCTGCTGGTGTTGGTCCACTGTGTTCTCTGAGGTCCAAAGTCAACGCAGTCGTCTACCAGGAAGTTTTAGAGCACTTCATGCTTCCTGCTGTTGACCAACTTTATGGAGATGCAGATTTCATTTCCCAACAGGACTTGGCACCTGCACACAGTGCCAAAACTACCAGTACCTGGTTTAAGGACCATGGTATCCCTGTTCTTAATTGGCCAGCAAACTCGCCTGACCTTAACCCTATAGAAAATCTATGGGGTATTGTGAAGAGGACGATGCGATACGCCAGACCCAACAATGCAGAAGAGCTGAAGGCCACTATCAGAGCAACCTGGGCTCTCATAACACCTGAGCAGTGCCACAGACTGATCGACTCCATGCCACGCCGCATTGCTGCAGTAATTCAGGCAAAAGGAGCCCCAAATAAGTATTGAGTGCTGTACCTGCTCATACTTTTCATGTTCATACTTTTCAGTTGGCCAACATTTCTAAAAATCCTTTTTTTTGTATTGGTCTTAAGTAATATTCAAATTTTCGGAGACACTGAATTTGGGATTTTCATTAGTTGTCAGTTTTAATCAATCACAATTAAATGAAATAAACATTTGAAATATCTCAGTCTGTGTGTAATGAATGAATACCCAAGTTTCACTTTTTGAAAGGAATTACTGAAATAAATCAACTTTGATGATATTCTAATTATATGACCAGCACCTGTATATTGAAGCCAATAGAAACAGTGGCAACAATGCATATTTTGTCCATCAGAGAACACTGACAAGTTGGTTTTTCCAAGTGCCTCGCTCATTACATATGCAGGTATGTACATGTTTGTTTATGCTGTGTGTCTATCATAAAAAAGGAATACTGGCCAATATAGACAGTTAACAAGCTTAATAATCCAATATGCGTCAGCCACACATTTTAATAATCAAAATAAAATACATTTCCATTATTATAATATAATAATATTATATAAAATAATATAAAAAATGCTGGAGTTGTTCCTATAGGAGTAATGATGAAAGTTCTTACCCTGGCCCAAGAGTAATCCATAGGCACTGTTGGGGGTGGAACCTCCTGGGCAGGAACGATTGTACCATTGGACACCAGTTCATCATAAACTGTCCTGTTACAGCCCCCCCCGAAATACACACACACACTCTCAGCGAAAAACTCTAAAAGCATTTCCATGACAAACTCTGGTACGATCGTGTAATGAATTTCTCACTTGATGACGTTGCCCAGTTCATCAAAGCTCTTTGGTACATAAGCTCCAGCATCCCTCAGAGCCTGGTTTTTGGCTACTGCTGTTTCTGAAGCCTGGTTGGCACAGGCCCCTGCATGGCCAAACTGAACCTGAGGATGGCAAGGTTACAGAAAAAGTATTCCCAAATAACAACAATAGGCAAATCCAAGGCAACAAAAACACAGCCACCGAACCTCTGATGCAAACATGGTGGCGCAGGTTCCAATACACCAGCACACCACAGGTTTGGTTATCCTGCCCTCTGTGATGCCCTGGCAGATCTTGTACTCCTCAGTGCCTCCAATCTAGGTTGTCAGAGTAAAAGATGTTAAAATTTACCCACAGATTAGATTTTCAGATTAAGACTAGTGTTGTTACAGGTGAATTCATATGTATTTAATGAAACTAAACACCTCTCCCAGCATCACTATCATCTTGATCCCCGGAGTGTCCTGGTAACGAAGGATGTGGTCCATGAAAGTGGAGCCCGGATATCTGAACAAAGAGGACCAAAACACAAGGACTTATGTTTATGTGGGGCAGGGATACATCATCTAAAAATCAGAAACTAATAGTTACACAACAGGCTTCAAAGGACAACTGTCTTTAATTCTAAAGCAAATAATTTTCAAATAACTTTGCGTACCTGTCTCCTCCGATGGCCACACCTTCATACACACCGTCTGTGGTGCGGGAGATGATGTTGTTCAGTTCGTTGGACATGCCCCCAGAGCGCGACACATATGCCACGCTGCCGGGACGATAAAGTTTGGAAGCCAGGATGTTGTCCAGCATGCCTCCGGTGTTGCCGATCTTAAAACAGCCAGGCTTGATGCCACCAACCTGGGAGACGGAAAATAATGGGTATTAAATTAATTTGTGTGTGCCAGTTGAAATTTATTTTATTCATACAAACATTTATGATTATACTCTCACAATGACCACTTCACAATCTACTGCAGTACTTAAAAGGCACTGTGGGTGTGATCTGGCTGCATACCGTAGCGGGGCCAATGATAGTGACGCCTTTCTCATCAGCCATCTTAATTATCTTCCTTGTCTGAGCTTCAGGGATGCCCTCAGCTATGATGGCAATAGTGTGGATCTGAAAACACAATTAGACAAGAGGGGTGATATTCATGTCTGGCTGAATCTCGCATGTTTATGCAGTGATGTACGAGGCTTTTATGTAAAGATAATTTTACAGTATTACCTGTGGGTACTGCATGGCCTCCACGGTGCTGTCGAAGGCCGAGCGCAGGGAAGCAAAGCTGATCAGGACGTCCACCTCGGGGTGCTTCTTCATGGCGTCGGCCATGTTCTTGTAGACCGGCAGCAGGATCTCTTTGTGGCCCCAGTAGAACTTCTGCTTGTGATCCCCACTGGGAAATGTAAAAGAAGTAGAACATAAATAGCGACATTTTATTTTTACTTCACCAGAATGTCAGAATTTGTACACTCAAAAGATACACACATTTAATTGAGTTGAAATGACAAAATATGAGACTTGACATAAGAACTCACAACTAAAAAAGTCAATGTGAATGTTTGTTACATTATCCTCCATCGTTTGAGGAAAAATACACATTTCCTTCTGTGCACCACTGTAGTTATTTACACCTCGACAAAATGGTCAGTGTAATTTTCTTATTAGCATCATTGATCTGAAATGCGACAACTACACACAATGACAAGACCACACAATATCAGCAGCGAAACATATTTAGGACAATCGGTTGTAACACCGTAGACATGTTTGAGTATCAAATTTGTAATCTAATTTCAGACAAATTTGAGATGCTGGGGAACGTACGTGAAGGGGTAGACCATGGCTGCCACAGAGGGTTCCTCCCGAGAGCATACGTAGTCAAAGTCCATCATGCCTTGCACGGCACGTGTCTGCATGCCCCAGACCATGGCCTTGGTATGCTTTCTGAAGAGTGTGGTGGCTTTGGCTGAAGAAAAGAATAGGCAGAGAGAGAAGAGAGTTAAGTCAAGAGTTGAAAGCAGAAATAAAAATAATCACAGGCGGGGGGGGGGGGTGTCAGGCTTAGGAAAACAGCAGGAATTGGGATGTAATAAGCTGAGTACAGAGAGACCTCACTCTGAGGACAGAGATGCAGGAGGTAGAGAAAATAACATGATGGACTTTGTAGTAAAAATGTCACCAAAGCAAACACTTCTACAAAAGGAAGGTTGTGTTTGTCTTTGTTGATGCAGTTTGCCTGGGCATTATGTTATCGTCATTTTTCCACACATTGACATTACAACTTAATTTGCAGGTTTTTTCACAAATGTCATTGTAATTCAGGCACCACACATCTCTTTTTAGCCGACAAATGCTGCTGTTGCATTCAAACTAGAAAGTCCATTATTTTATCTACCTCCAGATCACACTGTTAAAGGATTAAATTTGGATTTTCGCAATGTTAAAATGGCACCAGTGGTTGTGGTACAATGTTGAGAAATTGTTACGTTTCCAACAGTAGCTTTACATCCCTCGTTTCTAAATGAAAATTATTTACTGTATGTTTGTTAAAGTAGTTGTGTGATCTTAGAGATGCCCATTACCCAGTGGGAATACCAAGTAAGCTTGTCTAAAAAACACAACCTCACAAGTGTTGATGACATCGCTGTTGATTAGTAATTTAATTAATACATTTCGCCACAGCAAGGAGTGCAAGAAAAATGTCCAGACTGATCTGAGGCAGAGTAAGGAGGACACAACTCTGAATACGCTCTGCAAAAAGATCTGAAGAGTCTCAAGTGTTCTGTTTTGAATGCTGAATGTAATGTTAGTATAAAATGAGCTTTGAATTTTTGTTAAATTAATCACCATCTCGAAACACGTTTTGTTTCAGTCCTCCCAAGTCTCTCCTCCCTGTCCAGGCTCACTGCCCTCTGTTGTTCTTTGATCCAAAGGAAGCTGTGCACACAGTTATCAATTGTTCAGCACTATCACTGACCCTCTCACAGAGGGCTACAGAGTTTACAGGGTTTCTGCGGATTTCACATTCAAGTTAAAAATAAGAATTTTGATAGAATGTAATTTTATGTGATGATCATTCCGACCAGTAGAGACAATATTGCCTTTTTTATTATTATTATAATATAACCCATTATTAGCTTCCCACCTACTGTAGCTATCAGTAGTGACAGTTTTTGTTACAGATTTGATTGTGCTGATTGAAACTCCACAAAAATATTTAAGACTTTTTTTTTTTTTTTTTTGAGGAAACGGAAGTCAGTACTTCTTCAGACTTTTCAAGATCTGCAGACCCCCTGGTTTTAGGATGAAGCTGATCTGAATGATTCACTAGTGTCAATTTGGATGGAAATGCTTGCTCAGCAATTGTCTGCAGACACAGAACAGCAATGTATAAGTGCGCTACCATAAAATGCGTACCAGAAGGACAGACTGGAAGGTAAAATGAGAAGGCAGGGGGAAGTGGACAGAGGGCAGAGAGGGCAGGAAGACAGGTTTTTCACACCCTTCCATACCTCCGTTGCAGCCTGAAGAGGCATGCGCTGCTGTGACCCCACAGGACGGGAACACAAAATACGTCAAAATGAGCACAAAAACAAGGGGGGAGGGGGGAGAAAAGAATGAGTGCAACTGTATCTTATTCATTGAACAGACATGCAAACTGCATTCGGTCAACCGTGTCTCTGAAAACACTCCATAAATAGCACACCAAAGAAAAGACCATGCAAAGCTCAGCTGCTATAGAACATGCCTTTACTGAGCTGCTGTGAAAAGCAATCTTAAAAAGTATAGGTCAGACAGTCGCAGTCTCATCTCAACATATCCTGTGCTGAACATTTGACTTGTAACTGTAATGTTACAACTATCCCTGCACAACACACATCTCAGTCTATAGATGACAACTTTTCTCAGTATTAGAAAACTGATGATCTGTTCACTTTGTGGGTAATCTACAATTGTTTCTACAGTTTTTATGTATTGCAAGGACGAATATAATGTACCCACTGGACTACTGAGGTGAAGCAATCATGTACGCGTCACACACAAGACACTCCTTTCTACCAAGATTAGAGTGAGGGGTAAGAAGAAGAAAAAAATGGGCAAACCGGTGTAGAGTGTATGGGCAGTAGAGCGCAGTGTGAGCATGGCACACCTATCACGTACCTTTCCAATCGCCTGTGACCACATTCTTCAGAGGCCACATTATAGAATGAAGAGAGTCTTAGAGAAACAAGCATGAAAAAAGGTGATTGGACAGTTTGTGCAGCAAAACAAGAAGAGGAGGAAGGAGAGATAGAAAGAAAATTAAAATGCAGAATAGCAGTGACGCATTTGCGGGGAGAAATGCAGGGACGTAAGGATAAGAGAAATGAAAAAGCAGAAGTGTATGAGTACATATGGAGTCTTGCTAATAAGTGGAAGTGGAGAGGTGAGTGCTACTGTGTTAGTTACCTGCTGGAAGACCTGCTTTAGACTTTTTTGCAGGGGTGACATCATTAGACGTCCTGGTTTCAGAGAACGAAGCGGTCCTTGTTGTAGCTGGAGTCTGGTGCAGAACATACAGAGAAACAAACATTGTATTATTCAAAGCCTCATAGAAGCTTCCACTGAGAAGGTAGCGTGGAACTGCATTTTTGACAAGAAAATTATTATTAGAATTATTACTAGATATTGCTCAGACAATTTAGAGTTGTCCTTTGCTTTTAGTAACGTTTGTTCCCAAGACAAAATGTCAAAAGCCTCAACACCCATATGGAGCATAAGCAAATAATAAGCAAATCAGCTATCATTTTCATTAACCCAAGTGAAAACATCACCCCGTGTCTATGGGGTGGTTATGGAGCAGCGGATAAGATGCATGCCTTTGCTGTGGGAGACCTGGGTTCAACTCCCCACTGTGACACATCCAGCAATGTGTCCCTGAGCAAGACACTTAACCCCTAGTTTCTCCAGAGGCGTGCAACCTATGACATATATAACAATTGTAAGTCGCTTTGGCGTCAGCTAAATGTTTTATGCACTTTGTAGGAAATTGTGGTTTTCAAAGAAAACATTCCAAATGACATCTAGCTGACATGGAGGACCACAGCTAACTACTCAAAATCCTGTAATGCTATACAACAGAGCTACTCAAAACTTCTAAAGACCAAACCTTTAATAGTGTTTGAACATGCATGGCTAAACTGTATCACAAGTAAGCAAATGACCTTAAACATGCAACAGCTTCTGCTACATGTGAACAAAAGCTGCACATATTTGTGCAATCTCTAACGTTAAAACGTTACACAGCAATAATCCTTTTTTAACTCACAAACAGTAAAATTAGTTGGATTTCCGTGAGGACATTTCAAAATTTCAATTTCCATTAACTCACTGGGTAATGTTAACATAAAAATGTGGTGCAAAACAACATCTGTAATGTGTTACTGAATGAAAATACCACTGCACTGTTGCTGGCATTGAGGAGGAAGTTGGCGGTATGTGCGTCCATCGGGGGCTGGTTAGGGATTGGCCGGTGGCCCAGAGCCATTCCAACAATGGCTGTCATATGGGTCTCGGTACCAAACACATGGATAGGAATACCTGTCGTCTTCCCTAGAGAAAAAGTAAAAGAGTTAAGAGTAAAACAACTCAAACACCAATTTAACTTGCAAAAAAAAAAAACAACAACTTTAACTGGCATTCATGCTCTCATATCACCTATGCATGCACTCAAAAATATTATCCCTCTTTCTGGTCATTGTTGTCCAATACATAATACGAAAATTGCTTGACACCAAAGATTTCCAAAATAACAAATGACATAACATAGTCATAGTCTAATTCCTTTGTTCTGACTGACTTTGTGCTCTTCCCTGTGAACCTTAGCTTCATCTCACTCACCTACTTCCCCCATCACCCTTAGCCCTTCCTGGTAGTTGGGCCCGCCACGTCGAACAAAGATGGTGACCTCGTGCTCCTTCAAAGGACCTTGGAAGTCTTTGATGGCCCTGACAATGCCCTGAGGAGAAAATCAAGCAAGTCAGCTAACTGGATCACATACCATGGATTCTTCAAAATTATCTGCATAGGTGTGTCGGCTGGTCAGAGTGGCTGAGCAGTGTTGTTTAAATTAACACCATCGAATATGTCCATATCATAAAGCAAGATGCCAAATCTCAATCTCATTTGCTTCAAAAAAGGACTAAGGAACTTTTTATCTGTGCGTTCATTTTAACTTCCACTGAGTCTCTACATGTAAATTAGTATCATCAGTATTTTTGTATGGGGAATGCTTCAAACACAATACTTAACCTCATCTGATGTGTAACTTATTAAAATGTTAGGTATTATTTGTGAGTTGTGGTGCTGAATTAACCAGAGGAAAACAGAAAACGTACCTTTAATAGGTAACAAAGTTGGTTACAGGTCATAGCCGAGTTTCTGTCCTCTTTAAATTGGACGGCTTTAAAGGTAAGCCAAACTCTAACTAGACACTGTCTAAATGCCTCAACAAGGAAGGAAGCTGCAGAATCTCAAACTGACTAGCTTTCCTTCAATAGCTTCAGGAAACAAAATATTGTGTTGAGAGTTGGTTTGTAAATTTAAAAAAAAAAATAAATAAATAAAAAAAATCACACTATAGTAAACATTTAGAGTTGATTGTTAATGTTTTTCACCTTAAATGTGGCTGCTACATTAGTGAAATTGGCAATACTTCCTCCGATGATCAGCACCTTCCCTGTGGGATACAGAGAGAGGAGGTAATATGTTCATGACTGAAATTTGAAACCCCAGTAATATATTGTTGGTGAAATCCTTGAAATCCATTGCTGGCAACATACACATCATAAACGGTGGGTTTGTGACAGGCTAAAACAAGAAAAAAAAAAAAAAGAAGTAGGCCACATAGAGGAATGATCCAACACTGACTTCTATGCTTAAAAGCAAACTTGGCATAAGAAATTTGTACTTTATCTGATACGGTCAAGATTGTTTTCCATAAGCGTGTCCGGTAACTCCCTCCCTGACTACGTTGCCCTTTGGCCTACTTTTTAAACTCTATTAAGTGCAGTTGAAACACGCCTTAATGAAGCGCTGGCTAAACTAACCTTGAGGATGTTTCTCCCGTGTCATGAGAGAGAGGATGGTTTTAGCGTAGTCGTAGGTCTGCTGTTCACTGGGTGCGCCGGAGTACTCGCCATAGTTGGCCAGTTCATCCACCCCACCAAGGTCACAGATGGTGTCGCTAAAGAAAAGGGAAGATAAACATTGAAGTACTGCGCCCTGATTCTACTTGGTGCTTTTAGTTTTAATTAAGTGTGCTGTGGCGGCTTCTTGGTAACATTCAGTATTACTCGCCAAAACGCAATATGTACATCCTTGAGGTCTAACAAATGTGTTGAATTTAGAACATGTCCTTCCTCAGAAAACAACTGGAAAGACGATTTTTAAGATGTATTGTAAGTCCTGCTTTGTTTCAGTCTTCCTTTAAAATTAAAAATTTCTGTTTGTCAAACTTGCTTTGCATCAGTGTCTACCATGTGAGTCAAAGAAACAACAAGCTAACAAGCTTTTACATTTCAAGCAATAGACCACCACAAGTGGTACAGAATTTTAAATCTCACATCCACCAATGCACTTTGAATAGCTTCTGTTAGCTAAAAAGGTTCAATATAAATAAATAAAATTGCATACCTGTAGACTACTGAAGCCCCTCCTCCAGCCACCATGGTCCAGATCCTGCCACGAGGGTTCAGCAGGGTCAGCTTCAGACTGGCACCACTCTTTGCATCCAGATCAGCTATGTACGCCTCCTACCATGTAATAATCATATCCTGGTTATACATTCTGGTCAGTGAGAGCACAAAGCCAAGGATAGAGGCTTAAAATGAGATTCAAGCTACTTGTTCACTTCAGTTGCCGATTAATGCGAGTATCAGTAAATGTATGTTCAAGGTGCCATTTTAAAGCGTGGGCTGGGACTACATTTGGTATATTTGTTCTCAGAGGCAAAAATAACATGAAAAGACTGAATATATAAAAAAAATAATAATAGTATAAAAGGTGTGCAGACTAAAAAAAAAAAGTTACTACTCTAAAACAGTGAACTTCGCCTATGATTAAGCTGCAGAAAAGACCCATTTTCTTAAACATGCTGCAGTATTATAACCCAATCACACACATAAAAACCTGCTGATCTGTCCTTCAGAACTCACCTCTGGATATGCTTCTCTGCCAAAGGGCGGTGGAAACTCCACATCACCCCATTTTGCCTTGCAGATATAATCTGCTGTGGCATCAATCTTGGCTGCCATGTCAAGGACGTACACTCCATCTTGGGTGACGACTGGTAAAAAGTAAAAGTCGTGTTACCCATTAATTTGACATTTTAAAACTTCTCTTCAAATAAAGATGTTACAGAAGAGTATGTGTCAGTGGTAAATTTGATCATTAATGTACACAAGTAACTTGTTTCCATAAATTAATGATGAATCCCAGCAAAGCACGTCATTCATTCTCTTGAACTGATAAACAAATGGATCTGAAGAATGACTGTGGATGCTAAAGTAAAAAAATAAATATAAATATGCACAGTTGAGATGCACGTTTAGAAAAACATACCTAGAGGGTTGATTTCAAGATAGGTGAAGTAGAGATCCTCATATAAGTTGAAGAGGCCCACTATAAAACTGGCCAGGACTCTTCAAGAAGGGAAAAAAGTAGATAAGCAATAGATTAAAATCACCATACAAGAGAGGACAATGACAACAATTCTTACTAGAAAATTATATGAAAATATTCTAATTATTTTCACAGATATTAGGGGTGGGAATCACCAGAGGCCCCACGATACGATCTTATCACGATATTTATGTTGCGATTCGATTTTATTGCGATTTTAAATATATTGAGATATATTGCAATTTATTACCTTTTTGTTCATATCACTTTTTCAGTCCTCTATATGGTCCTGTTAAGTTTTCTAGTGGACTAAAAAAAAAGCAATGGATTTTATTATAGTACCAAAAAGTTAAGAGTCCCATCTGCAATTTATATAATAAATCATTGATACTTGGCGTCCGTGTATCGATACAGTATTGCCATGGCAAATATCACGATACTATGCTATATCGATTCCCCCCCCCCCACCCCTAACAGATATTGCGATTCCGATATGAATCACAAATGTTTTCTCTGAGAAAAAAACCAAACTACTATCTATTAATTGTTCAGGCCAAGCAAACAGTAACAAATAAAAATCCACCACAACCAGAACACACCACCGGTTTCTACTGACAGTAATAGTTGGGACAACTATACAATATAAAAACATGGCTGGTTATGACTGTATTGTATTTGCAACAATTACTGGCTAAACACAAGAGGGGGAGGCACCTCTTATCAAAGTCTCTCTGAAGTGAAGCTGAATAAGCAGTCCATGACACAGAATATCAGGGACTGATTCTTAATCCAGTATTTTTTATTATAAATAAATAATATAATAAATCAAACTGCCATCACAAAATTTCTTTAGTATCACATTATAAAGGTGCCCTCCAACCCCTGTCACATACAGAACGGACACTAGATGACCTCCTGGTTGGGTTTGATGGACAAAATTATTTAGATACAGTATACTTTTTTTCATTAGAGACCTAAAATCACTCAGTTATATAGTGTTTTATCTATTGGCATACACATTAACATACAGGTAAAAAAAAAAAAACAACAAGTCTTGTCTTATTTTCAACTAAGTTTTTTTTAGCTGCTGTAACTCTTTCTGTGTGGATAAAAATAAATAATGTGTCCGTACTCTTTCTTATCATCAGGAACATGTGTGAGGAGCTGCTCTGTGACCTGGTCCTCACTCAGCGTGTCATCCACTGCGATCATCAGCTTCTGGGCCTTGGCGTCCACGTCACCCACCTCCACTCCTCCCTCGTGGTGGAAAAGTACATGGTCGCCCTCACGTGTGGCATAAATACACACATAAAACTCCTCCTCCTGGGTTCAGTCGAGGGTTAGGACAAATACAAGGATATGTAAACACATTTTAGTTTGCAGACAGCCGATAGCGCATCATCCTTTACAAAAGGCTGACAAGCACACAGTTACACACAGTTGCCTTTTTGAGCAAACTGACCTTCACACAGGCACATATTCTCACACATTCGTGGGTGATAACCACATCACACACACATACTGCAATTAGTCACCCTCAGTTTGTGCAATTCACAAAACTGTGAGGAAATCAACCAAATAATCACATGCACACTGCCTAAATAGAAAACACACTAAATAACTTTTGTATCAAGACCTTTGATGTTTCACTGATCTGCTGAGTGGCTTCATAATTTGTTTCCTTGGTTAATGTGGGGACTGGCAGTGATGGGTTGGCTCAGCAGGGCTCAACTAAGACTGTATGTATGACTTAAGGCTACACAAATAAACCCAAACTGACTTTCAAACAGGATGTGGAATGACAACACACAAGAAACTGGCATTCGTTACCTGTGTGTGTGGAACAAAAGGCTCAATGAGGAAGTTCTTCAGCACACCCTTTGCCTTTCCCACCTATTCAAGACACAAGACACAACTGATATTACAAACCAGTAGCATGCCTAACCTTGTTATAGACTTGAAAGTGAATAGTACCCAAACTAGAAAAAAAAAAGGTAACAACTTTTTGTTTAACTAGGAAAAAACAAAATAAAATTAACACAGTATGATGTTTTTTTTTTTTTTTTTTTTAAATCATAAAGCATATTAAATAGCATATGATATTAAAAACAGCTAACTGTGTGGCTGGTGTGTAAATTCCCTTACTAATGTACTGGAAGTATAGTAACTGCAGGTTTAAAATGCAGCAGAGCATGTACAGTGTGTATGCATGTATGGAGGACCAGAATAGACCACCCTCCTCCACTGCAGTACATGACCTCTGACCTGGCAGATCTAAAGATAAGCCCGTGGTACTGGACACAGCAACCTTCGTCACACAACAGGTGGACAAAGGATGCATTCTCTTCAGATGCCGTACAAGCCACAATGTGGCAGTCATGTGGTTTACTACCTGTATGGGACTGTTAAGACGGCAATGTTATCTTTATTTACGACATATTTGGTCTGAAGAAAAAATAAATCTCACTGAGGAGCAGGGACCATGTGCTTCATACATTATGATGCAATGAATTTCCATTATTTAAATTAGTTTTTATAACACCACATATACTATCAATGTTGTTAGTGATAGCCGATATCTGGCATTTTGCACTAGCGGGGCTGATATAGCATTCTAAACGATAGCTGATCTAATCTAAAACCATTACTGGCTTGCGTTAAATATATACTGTTATACTGAAGAGAATAATGCAGTTGAATGCCGTCACTTCTGACAAACTGTACCCCACTCTCCCTTAAACACCAGTCACTTTCTGAAATCTACAGTGTAACCCAATGTACAGAATCTCACAAAAGTGAGTAAACATCTCCCATTTTTGTCTCCCATCTTCTCATGTGACAACATTGTAGAAACAACACTTTGTTACAATGTAAAGTAGTGAGTGTACAGCTTGTATAACAGTGTAAATTTGCTGTCCCCTCAAAATAACACATCACACAGCCATTAATGTCTAAACCACTGGCAACAAAAGTGAGTATACCCCTAAGTGAAAATGTAAAATGGATATATAAATAGAATTATATTATTTATGTTTGTTTTTATATCAGCCGTCAGTCGCCCTGCTCTCTAAGTAATGACATTGGCTATTGAAAATCCCACCGCAAAACACAAAAAAGGCAGGGGAGGGAGCAAGAAAGTAAATACAGAAAGAAGGTGCTATGTTTTGGACCAGTGCATATTTCTGCGACAGAAACATTGCTTATTAACTTAACATGAAAAAACAGCACAGGTGTCATTTGCTCGTAACGAACAAATGAACCGCTCCAGACTTCGTGCGGGACCAGACCAAGACCATCTCCGCTCAAGTGTCTTGGTTTTGTACCGCACCACAATTTGACCGCTTTCACATCAACCCAAACAAACCGTACTAACCGGGCAAACGTTAACAGAACCAAACTGTTAGGCTTGAAAGCACTCCAAGACAGACAGAGATTCCAGTCAACTCACAGTGGCATCTCTCATGAGGCGGGTTTTGAGCCACTCTCGGACACCCTGCAGGTCCAGGTCAATGCCCACCAGCCCGAGCTTCCCACGCCGCTTGATGAGTTGATCTGGCTTTACCACCAGACGCTACAGGGGAAGACAAATCAGCCACGTATTAAAACAAAAGCCACAGATTTGCACCAATACTGGTGTGACAAACAAAACACCAGGCTAAAACGTGATATTGTTAGAGAATTTCCCCACTTCAAAAGTTTTTACAAGCTTTACTTGTGCAGGTTTTAGTTTCCACACACACACACACACACACACACACACACAGCTCATGCAAAAGGAGGATATATTCTCGTTTCAGCTGCATATGAATGGCTAGAGAACTGCTGAGCCATTAGTTCACCCTAGTTTAGTTCAAAATATTAAACTGCCTCAGAGATGTGTGGTACCTGCTTGTGCTACTAAAACAATTTTGGTGTATCTTTTGATGCACCCCTTCAAAAGTCTACCATAGCCATCTTTGTAAATTACTAAGATTGCTCAAGCCTACGTATGGTTGTGCCAGGCTGCAAGAAAATACAACTTCTCTAACATCACAAGTTGAATACTTTGCTCTTGCTAGTCTAGTGCTAATTTCTATTTTCCCAAGTACACACAAAATCATAGCAAGTCACCCAGTGCATCTAAATATGTAGTTCACATGCCACTGTGACATTAATGACATAATGTCCTGCACAGCGTTTCCGTGACGTGCAGTAAGTCATTAGCCTCATGATTTCATTATTCCTATGCCGGCTGAGGAAACAACCTAAAACCATGACGGACTAGTAGAAGGCCCTTGAGGTGTTTTGCAGCAAGCCCTTACCTCTGTGAGCAGCCATGGATGCTCCTGTGTGAGGCGGTCCCAGTCAGTCTCAGCGGTGACACTGGCATAGCGGAAGCGGTTCTGCACGGGCGCTGAGGTGCAGACATACTTATACAAGAACTCTTTTCCTGTCTGCTCTGAAATGGCTTTCGCCGACATGGCAGTGCCGGATAGCACAGGACCTTTAGGAGAGGGAGGCCAACAGTTTACTTCACAACATCATTGTATGTAAATACTACTATGTGCAAAACTAAAGGAACAACTAAGCACAGATTTTGAGCAAATAAAAATTCTGATTTTCAATCAAGATGGGGGCTACCATTGAGTCCTGATGGAAATGTATGCACACAGCATGATGTCATTTAATGTACTTTGTTACATTATTTCAAGGATGTTATCAAAACATTATTGTAGTCTGTATGCCAGTCAAAAAATCTGAAATTCCTGGAAAATAAATCCAGGTTTTGTGCACATGCAATGTGGGACTTTGGGTAGAAGCGATGAATTAAATGGGCTATAACTAAATAAAGTTAAAAAGAGTAATGTTTTAAAAAGTCAGAATGACTAAACTTAATCTAATGGCTTAGGCCTACATGTTTTATTAAATCCAAGTTAAAGCTTTTTGATGCCTTGCAACACTTATCTGTGTTTGAGATTTCCATAATGACAAATCCTTTGCTACAAACTGTGATTAAACTTAGATAAACGTGTTTGTCTGGGTTAGGGGCAATCATTTGGGCATAAAATAAAAACTAACAAAATTCATCCGTCCCTTTCCATTTGTTTTGCTGTCATTCATCTAAAAGAATAATTTCTCTGTTTAAGATAAAAGCTAGCCACTGTGGGGAAAAAAAGATAAACAGTAATACAGCTGAGTTTTGAGGTTATTATATTACCAAGGACAGCACAATTACTCTTTGTTCCAAACCTTGAAACCTGGGATAAACTCTCCTACTATTGTGCATCTCCATCCAAACACATGAATTAAAAAGTTATCAAGACCTGCCATTTAACATGTTTGGGAATGTCACAACAATAAGATGAGCCTACACAAAGAAAACAGGTTGCAAAGACGGTATCATTCCTGTTTCAAATCCTGTTTCTCTTGTCAGACCCTGCTCAGCCAACTCATCACTGGTACCTCAACGAAAAACAAAGCAAGCACAAGCATTTATAAGTCTTTGCGCCTTTGGCCTTGTGTCTAAAGTGAACAGCTCTAATTTAGGGACACAACTCTGAAGGCAGGTGTGTGGAACAGCCCAAACTGGTCTATAAAGGACCAATACCACCAACATCAACACCACCACAAACTAAACAATGACCAGCAGTGAGGCTTGATAACATGCATGCTATCTCCTCTGCCTTACTGATAACATTTTATGGTGGTATCATTTCAGCTTCTGAAACGCAAGCAATGGCTTTGTGGTAGCAGCTCCTGCGTCAGCTGCAGCACTTCAATACGGTCTCTCAGTTTGCAAGAGGTCTGCGATATCTAACCGGGGGGGGGGGGGGGGGCTATGGTTTAGCTTAGCGGGCTATCTTGTCATGTTTTTAGAGGCAGATGTCCCAGTATTTAGCTTGCCATAATCCACAGGTCCAGTCTATTGTTTGAAGCCATCAAGCCGTGAAATTAGTGCCACTGTACAGGCTCCTGAGATTACAGACACTGGATTTGAAGGCAGCAGCATCACAAGGGGGGCCAGCAAAGGGGGTACTGCTTCAGACACAGCTGACGCTTGATGAGTTTAGCAGCAGATCTAGCATTACTTTTCCCAGTGCACACTGCCGTGCTGCATCACGTACGTGAGGGTGAACGAAGCTCCTGTTCCAGCTACCACACCCACATCCACAGGCTGTAGCCTTAACTAGCTAGTCAAGCAAGTTCAATAACTTTAGTTTTGCTCGCTGTGTGTAAATAAAGAGCAACTTCCTGGAGGGGTGATGCAACGGGCAGATGTAACGTTAAGGTTATAGAAAAACCCACAGAGTGAGACACGAGGAAAACAAGCTTGCCAAGGCAGGGAGACTCTGTTTGCGGATGATGTAAGGTTAAGTTAGCCTGCGTTTGTGATTAATATGAGCTCTGCTTTTTTTCTCCGCTCAGGGAAGAGTCAGTTCAATCATCTGAGTTTTGCGCATAAGCTCCATTTCAAGAGCTAAGACAAATATTGTTGTACCTTTTCTGCATCTGGTAGGATGACCGTGACTACAGTTTTTTTTCTCTTTTCCACACAAACCTCACACCATCTCACATCCGCTAACCTGAAGTCCTGACAGACTGGCTAACTGCTGTAGCCTCCCACTGGTGCAGACAGCCCCTTAGCTAACTGGTAACCAGAGAAGCTAACTAGCGACTGTATTTTAAAAAATAATAATAATTGAGCAGAAACAGTTACCTTATCAATGAAAGTTGCACCCCCTCGAAAGTACAGGAAACGTTTCTTGGTCAAATATGACACAGCTGAAGAGTCGCTCTATGTTATACCGGAATGTGCTCCTGCCAGTTGCCACCTCACTCTCGTCCTGTCGCACCATAATCTGGCGACCGATTACACGTTGAAGGCGGCGCCTGATTGGCTTAAACATGGTCACGTGGTGATGTCAGTCACGCCCACAGCTTTATAATAAGAAGCTACCTACAATAAATCACCATTAAACTGTACAAATTTAAAATAATCCATGGTCAAAAATGACTTTTAAAGATATACCCAATTTCAGGGAAGAACGCAGGAAAGCTAATTCTTGTGCACACAATCCTGTTCATTTCCAGGCGAAACATTACTCTTGTTTAAAGTTTCAAGGTAAATTTGATCAGAAAGGAATCTGACAGTGGTAGCAGATGTAATACCACAGTCTAAAAATACTCTAGTCCTTTACTTAATTTTTCAGTTCAGTTGTATTATTAGAAAAAATGTATTAAAATGAATGTACCCACAATTAAGAATGGCCTTTTAGAGCGATATATTGTTGGATTATATAATAAGTGTGAAGCAGAATTTGTTTTCACTGGAGCCAATTTAAACTAGTTTACTTCTACCATTTGTGCTGACCATGTTTACCGTATGATTTTAATCTGAAAAGTAATTATATGGCTGTCAAACAAATGTAGTGTAAAAAAAAAAAAAAAAAAGTGAAACATCTTCCTCTGAAATGTAATGATGTAGCCGTTTAAAGTAGCATAAAATGTAAATACTGAAGAATACTCAAGTACAGTACTTAAATGTACTTTGTTCCTTACTAATGGAATCTGGAAAAAAACGACAAATTATTCCAGAAATAAATTTGAGAAAAGTCCATCATTACAGTAAAAGACGAGCCTTTAATTTCGCAATAAGAAAAAGCATGTCCTGTTAATACCATGACATGTTTTAAAAATTATACATAGATCAGTGACAGAACTATTAACAATAGAATCTTCCAACCTACTATCAGTGCCCCTTTAAAACAGGTGGAACAAGTAGGGGAAGGGCTGTTCTGACCAAACGTGCATGACAAGTGCAGGTGGATGCCAGCTAGCTGTGACTGATGGGGACATGAAGCCAAATTTAAATTTTAAAGGTTTTCCTGCAAAAGAGCACAAAAAAAACCACCACACACACACACACAACATGCTATGCAAGTGTTACTGTTGCCTTTTGCAAATAGTATGTATCTTGCTCTGAAGCTTTTGATGTAGGTTTAACTGTAAGAGGTTAATTGATCTGCTCATTCTGGTAAGGCACCACTTGAATGGGACAGCAGGACAGACCGCAGCACAGATGTGTAGCCGGTGCATTCAACAGAAGAAAATCTGTAGGTGTATGTATGCTGATTTTGGCCTGTTTCACGAAGAAAATACTTTCACAGTCTGAGTGCAAAGAGGATGATGTGGAAAACATATACAAATGAGTCTCTTTCAAAAAAAATATAAGGAAGACAATGAACACTGGCATTCTGCTGTATACAGTCTGGAATATACAGTACAATAAATATAAATAGACCGAGGGAAGACTGAAGTAGACAAATTTATGGACACAAACGATTTACATTCGAGTGAAATATACAATGCAGGATGGAGAAAAGGAGAAGAAACAAAAACCCTGCAAGTCAATTCTATATTTGGCAAGTGAGCCACTAAAACCTGGACACACTCGCAAGAGACCAGCATTGTCCTTAACGGGCTGTCCTGAGGTCAGTTTTGACATTGAACTCCCACAGTATGTCAACTCTTGCTCTATAGAGACATGCTGTCCCAGGTGAACCTAAAAAACTTGCACCACGTTATGTCTTCTAAAACTAAATCAACCATGATGCTCATATTTCCAAAACGCATTTCTTACTACTGATCATCTTTATGAAGGTTGAGGCAGTTTTACAAGATTAGATTTTCTTTAATATCACTTTGATTTGGCAAATAGGGGGCATGCTCCGATCAGCTAATCCAAGCCTCTTAAAAAAAGATTTCTTAAGCACTTCTTTATTTACAATGTTAAATCCTATCTAAAGCTTCCGTATTATCCTTTCCCATGTTTGTTAGCATCAAAGTAAGGAGAAATTTAGGAGTGAATGCAAGAATCAAAAACCTCTTATAAAAGAAAAGTGAGGAGATTTTGCAAGACACTCAGGAGAAAGAGCATCAGGTGGTGACTGTGGGTCCAACTTCATTTTGTCCACTGCAGGGATGCGTTTTCCCGCATGCCTCCTTTGCTTTAGCCAAATTGGAAAAAGAAATTTCCAGGTCCAGAATCTTGAAAATAAAAGAAAAAAGAAAAATTAAGTTAGTTAATAGAAAGCATATTCTCTGACCTTAAGTGCGTCATTAAACTGGAAAAATAAAACACACCTGGGCTGGAATCAAAACTGTATCCTCCACCATGGCCACCAAAGAAAGCCCTGAAGATGTTGTTTGCATCAAAATCTAGAGAAATAGCAAAAGGCAGATATGTAAAAGGGATTAGCTGGTGATAGCGATCTTCAGGATGAACAAGATGGGTAAAAAGATGACGTAACTTGCTAAAGAGAATGGGAATGAATCAAGACATACTGTACTCACATTGTATAACTTGTGTATCTACAATACATACTTTGATAGGTGGTACAAATTCAACAGGTGCGCTACTGAGGCACCTGGGATTTATTGGTGCTCAATGACTTCAGCGTATTGCGTAAGTAAAAAATGTATGTCATTACGAATGAGTGAATACTCAGCTGAAACAAGTAACTGCTACAGATAACGTAGTATGAGTTTCACTATAGTAAAATATCTATTTACTAATAAACGATAAATATAGCAAATTTTCTAAAACAATTCTGGTGCAGTTCTGCAATTAGTTTTCTAATACATATAGCAATTCTGATCAAACCATATATCAATTTCAGGCTCAGATACGGATAGTTCACTCAGAAGATACAAATAATGGTGTTCTCGCTCATACATGTCACACTGAGTTATTAATTTATGTGGGATCCATGTTGCTAAGTTTGAATATTCACCTTCAAAAACTTCAAATTTGTAGACACATTATGATGTTCTGTGTACAGTACTGTGGCCTCTTTTATAGACACCATTTTATATCCATATTGTAAATAATCTGTGAATCAGTTTTGGTAGCATCTGAATGTGTCCTTTAGTAGTTGCTGTAGCTGAGTGATGAACTTGTCATTGACAATAGATGACAATGAAGCAGTTGAAATGAGATGAAAGAAAACTGAATTCCTAGGGACATACCAGTGTTTTGACAATCGTTTGGAGTGCAACATTTCTAAAATTTATATCAGTACAGACATGTTTTCTTTAATTCCACTAATGATCAGCAGCATGTTTAATGTAAATCTAGCCAAAGAAATGCAAAAAAAAAAAAAAAAAAAAAAAAAATCTAAAATAGGAACACACCTCTACCATCAAAGCCGCCATCATCATCCAAGTCGTGTCCATTGTCATAGCGGATCTTCTTCTTTGGGTCGGAGAGCACAGTGAAGGCCTCACCCACCTCCTTGAATTTCTTTTCCTCCTCCTTTTGCACCTCTGGAGTGGCAGCGCTGTGGCGGTCTGCAAGACGATCACACAATACAACAAAGGCTTCCACATAAATAACATCAAATACGATCAGATTCGGTATCCTGCAAGTCTGTGTAAAGACCGAGAGGGCTACCTGGGTGGTGCATGAGGGCCCGTTTGCGATAGGCCTTTTTGATCTCGTCCTCGGTGGCGTTCTTGCCGACACCCAGCACCTTGTAGTAATCTTTCCTCTTGCTCTTCTTCAGCTCCAGCTGTGCTGTCTTCAGCAGATGCTTGTGATCTAGAGGGATTAAATCGAGGAAAAAAACAAACAACAAAAAAACACATGCGAGTGTGTGAAAATCAATAATACCAACAAGTATAGCAGGTAAAAATGCAAAAAAAATGAAAGGAGAAAACAGTCAGCAGCTTACCTGATGTTTTCTCTGTCTGGTAAACTTTTTCATAGTCCCGTACAGCCTCCTCATACTGCTCTGTGTTCATGTAACTACGGGACACACACGACATCACTCAAAAGCTGCAAAATGCTGAACGACCAAACACCCAAATGAGGACAAATGTGCCATATTGACTGTATAGCATACCACTGAGCTCTTCTTAAGTAGGCCTTGATGTAAGTGTCGTCTAATTTGATTGCACTGGTGCAGTCTTCAATGGCTTGATTAAGTTTCTTCAGCTGTTGATGAGGAAGAAGTTAATTACAGTGAAGTGATTGAAGACAAAGAGCTGGAGGAGCCCACAAATAATCAGTAACAGTTTCCATTACATTCCAGACTCTCCAACCCTGTGGTAGAAAACAGTACACAACATAAGTCCATTTGCTGCCTTTTACCTTTGCTCCTGCTGTGGCTCTGTTGCAGTAGAGTTTAGCGTTGGTCTTGATGTTGTTGGGGTCTATCAACAGGGCCTCAGTATACAGCTGGTAGGCAGCTTCATAGTTGTTGTTCTTAAATGCCTGGTTGCCCTCCTCTTTCTTGGCTTTTAAGGCTTTGGCATTCTGATGTAGGAAGAGACCAAATCCTCACATTTCTTTTAAAATATTAATCTACACTTGCAGTGAAATGTACAATATTCTAAATATTTCCGCATGCCTTACACCATGAATTTACTGTATTAAGCTGCCTCATCATGTATGTGAACTCTAGGAAGACACATTTTTCAGTCCATTTGTTTTAGCAGTTTTAGCAGCCCTGCAACTACAAATGTGCTGCACTGCGCTAAAATATAAATGTCTAACATTTTAGGTTCATTTGCTTTTTTCGTACACATTTGTCTTACATAAGAGATTTCAAAATATGTGCTGCTTTTATCACAGTTGGTCAACTACACGTCTGTTTTTTTTTTCCCCCTTCCAATTAAATGAGGAGGAAAGAGACAGAAAGACAATCTTACCCTGCACGCTAGCCGGGCCTTCTCATGGTCAGGTGCCATGCGCAGAGCCTGGACAAAGAACTGCACAGCTTTATCGATGCAGTCCTCGTAGTAGAGACACAGGCCTCGTACGTACAGTGCGTCTGCGTTTGTGGAATCCAGCCGCAGGATATCACTGAAATAGATCGTTTTGTTAAAAGATCTGCTGGGGGAATCTGAAATAAAAGCCACTCTTCTTAGTGGAAAGCGACTAAAGCAGACCCTGTACTCATATTTAAAATCTTTTGTGAATCCAAGAAGCTTGCACTAATAATGACAGGAGAAAAAAAACTGCATCACTGTTACAAAATAATCATATGCCATGAACACTATAGCCCCTTTTCCACTGCAAAGTACCAGCTCGACTTGCCTCGCCTTTGTTTGGTTTTCCATTGTAGAAAACATCCGTCGAGGTTCCAAGCGAGCTGAGGCGATACTAAAATGTGATGTGAAAACACAGCAGACTGCTGATTGGTCAGAGAGAATCGTCACTATTCACTGCATCATCATTATGCACGCCTGACAGAGGCCAGCAACAGAAATCCAGTTGCCCTTGACTTTAACCTTCTTTGGATAACTATTTTAACTTAACATTTTAACTTAAATCAAGAGACAGCAATGTGTGGGTCACTGGTGTGTGTGTGTCGCATTGAACATTATGTCGCGGCTGTTGTGTGTAGCGTCGCTATGATGACCAGCTACATTGAGGGGTACTATCTCTGGGTACCATCTGCAGTGGAAAACAGAGCACGGCCAAACTGAGTCAAGTCGAGTCGGTACTGGTAATGGAAAAGCGCCATAACATCAGCTGCTCCTACCTTGCTACAGACTGGGCTTCTGGATAGCGTCCCAGCAGAGCCAGACACTCAGCCTTGAGGATTTTGAAGCGGTGGCAGGCAGAAGCCACAGCTAAGGCCCGGTCCATGCAGAACACCACCTGGATCAGGATGATATTTTTTTTAAAAATGCAGAAAATGTTGCATTTCCAGTCAAACATGCCGTTCAAACAGAAGGTTTGTGCAAATAGGGCCGTCAACTACTTAAACTCTTCCACTGACTGGTGCTTATTACAAACCAAAGCATATTCAGAAATTATATTGTGATGCCACGGATATTGCTTAAACTATCCAGTTAGATGGGGCAGTAGTGTTTGTGAGAAAAGAGAATGGGTGTAAAGTACCTTTCTGAAATCCCGCTTTTCAAAGCCAAAACCCGCCATTCGTTCGAACTCAAGTAGAGTCGCTGCAGTCTTATTCTAAAAAACAACAATCATCTATCAGCACTTTATTTATAGTGGTAACAGTCTGAGTTGCATGATTCAGCCTTTGGCTCTAGTATGTAATTCGATTCTATGCATTTTAAGTTCAGGTGATCTCCACCTCCTGCTGGGCCTCTCTGTTGCTGGGCTCCAGCTCCAAAACCTTCTGAAAGCAGCGACTAGCTGCCATGGCGTTTCCTAAAGACAGGTGGCACTTGCCCTCACGCAGATGACCCTGTGGGACAGCAGGGACACATTTCCTTTTCAGGACTGTCTACATAGTACTCTCAATATGCAACTGCTTTGAGGCAGTAAGTGTTGTGCAAAACTGAGAATGAAGACAATGTTCTAGATGCAAGAGTTTGTTCAAACTGACCTTCATGAAACAGTCATCCAGCCGCACAGCCTGCTGGGAATCTTCTAGGGCCTCTCGAAAGCGACTGAGCATCATGAGGGTGGCTGCCCTGTTGCCATAATAACTGGCATTATTGGGACATGCATCTTGAGATGAAAAATGAAAAATCTGTGTCACACAGGCAAACTGAGATGCGGGTACTTATTACAGATAAGCATTTCACAACAGGAGAGTATGAACTAACTAAGATTGGTCAATGGGTGCTTGGTACATCCACGAAATCACTGCAAAAACATAATTCCAGCTGGGCTGCACAATTAATCGAAATCACTATATGGACAATTTAGTGCAATATCCAATTGCAGGAGCTGCATTTTTTTTGTAAAATAATTGCTGCAGAGATGTCCCAGCCAACAAATCTAGTTCTCCAGATGAAAGAAAACATGTGTTTTTGAACCTCAACAAATATCACATTATGATTTTAATAGTTTTTACAAGTAGAGTAGCTAGTAGTAATCTCACCAATGGCCTTAGTATAGTAGTTGAAAGCCTCTGAGTAATCCTTCTGGCTGTAGAATGCATTTCCTTGTTCTTTGAAGCCTTCTGCCTGGCTAGAGAGAGGAGAAACAGAAACCAAAGTCAAGGTGGAGCAAGTACTGGAAAAAGGAGAAACAGAAACTTAAGTCAAGGTGGAGCAAGAACTTTATGAAGACAACAAAAATGAGCAGATACAATAAAACACAAACTATTGAGCCAGCCCTCCACAAGTTCTTAAAGACTCATCAACTCACTCCAGCTAGCTTGTTATAAAAATAACTCAAGCGGGATCATATATTAACATATATTTTTATGTTATTTTGTGAGAATGAAAGAATTCATTGTCATCAAACCAGACCAGCTGCCTTGCTAGCACCCATTTGTGTGCATCAGAGAGTTTTCTTGCAAATGAAGCAGTGCTGGTGTCTGAAAGGACTTGACTGTGTTGTGTGTTACACCTGGAACTGGGACAGCAGATCAGGGTACACACAGTCCTGATGGCCCCAGTACTAAACATAGCAGTGAAATTCACCTTCTGCAGTCCAGTAAAAAGTGCCAAGTGTTAAAGGATACATCAACGCTGATTCGTCTAAGGAGGAAGCTACTGCTGTGCTGCTCTCACATTTTACAATTCAGGCCAAAGCCCAATCAGTGACATCGTGGTAAGTGTTTTCCCATCAGCCAAAAAGAGCAGCTTTAACATCAGTAGCTCAGTTTGGGTGCAGATAAGAAGAAGAAAACCTGAGCCTTGCCCGTGCAGCAAGAATTTAGTTTTGATTTAGGGTCCAATTGTAATTTCCACAGGCTAAAATTTAGGCATGGTACCCAAGACCATAACTGACGCAAAAAAAACCCCAAAACCATGCAAACAATGATGACATTCTATTGCTGTGATAAGCTAATTACAGCTGATAGTGTTGGCCCATATTCTGAATGTAAAAGTTAGGCTACACAACTGCTAAAATCAGGATTGGATTAGCTTTTTAAAATTGCAAATTTGAGCATTCTTAAACATTATTTAATAAGAGCAAATGAAGGGCTGCAACATTTTTTTTATATATATAAAAAAAAGAATTCATCATTAAAAAGTTCTGATTTCTTTGCATGACTCTGGTTTGTTGTGCATGTCACTTGCCACAGTCATGGCAAAGAGCACATTAATGTGTAAAATTTATAATTCGTAAAACTGTATGCTGCCAAGTTTGAAACAACAGCGCCGTCTTGTCAAATCAAATTTGTCCTCATATTGAATATAAAATTAAAAGATATGTAGGTTAATTTAAGATGAACAGAGGATTGTAATACTTGTGATCTAATGCTTGCATTTCCTATATATGGTAACAGGTTTTCTTGGTTTAATAAGAAGCATTTTGCACAAAGTTGTGGCCATTCATGTCTGTGAATTAATTAAATTGCACAGCAGAACATATATCTACTATCTACATCTGCCTTCAGTATGCAAGTGTACAGCTCTGACAGCCCAGCTGTGTCTCTTGAAGTACTGAACAGGGAAAGCACTTTGCGTCAAACGTCACATCGAATAAACCCAATGATGAAGAGGCACCACCAAAGAGATCATTTGTATTAAAAGCCTGACAGATCATTGTCATTTGGAAATACTTTTGCATTTGTATCCTCTGATGTCTAATATTCATTGGTAATGTTCATAAACACTGTAATTATGCACATAAAGATGTATCTGTTTGTTTATTAGAACAAAATGTGTTATTTCTAATTTGGAGTGAAGTAAACATTCTATGCAGGACAGATCAGATACATCACAGGACACCAATACAAATGCAAAGTGTGTTGTCAGTGATGATGATTCATCCCTACAGGTAAATTAATGTGCGCTAACCAGACGCCATCACTGTTAATTTATGGTTAACTATTGAAATCTTTGGTGTCCTATCATGACATCTTCCTTTTTTCATAATTGAAACTGTCTTGGATGTTTCTAGAAGTTACTAAAGTTAGATCATCACTGTAACTTTATCTGATGGTTTGAATACCAAGTCTTGCTGAAGCTATCTGGCTGCCTTGTATGGAAATTTCTAGAAAGATGAAAGCACTCACAGTTACAAACTTTAACGAGCGTCCAGCACGAACATTTAGTTATTCTTCATTTCCCGTGTTAAGATTTACAACTGTGTCCGTACAAAGAGGTTCATTACAGTGAGTCCTAAAGGACAATAACGTTAGTGCTGCGATTTCTATAAGTTAGCTGAGCATGTGTCAAGACGCGCTAATTCACTTGGTTGGCTTGGTTCTCTTTACGGGGATGAAGTTAATTTAAAAAAAAAAAACCACAATTTGCTGTCTATTTCCAACCATCGAATCTATGATAACAGCAATGGCTGACATGTATGGAAACCATTAAAATTTAAGATTTAGCTAAATGTGGCATTTAGCTAAATTACCCCCCCCCCAAGCAAGCTAGCATGGTTAGCTTGTCCCCGGGCTGCTTTCCAAGGCTTGTCAGATAACGGCAGTTGAATTCAGCCAAGAAATCTTTGGTTATTTCCACATTATACACGCAGCACAATGAAACACGGCGGACAATTATGTGTTTACCGTTCCAGGTCATCAGGATTGCGGATTTGGGGTTCTGTGTCCACCGGCACGTCGATGTCAACAGCTGCCATTTTTTCTGGAAAGGACGAACATGAACCGACGTCATTTCCGGGAGCTTTCCCCCCCTTTCTTTCGGTTTTGAGGTCATAAAAAACTAGGCCATATAACATAGTTTATGTAACTGCGGGATTTTTATTATATGAATAGTTTTGTTGAATGTTCTAAATCCAAGATATTTTGCATTTTATTGTATTAATGTAACTGAGACTAAAATTCACATTTCAAACTTATATTAGCTTTTCAAAACAAAGGTTGCAAAAAACACAAAAACACTAACGTGCTCCTGTTATAACCAACTTTATCCTACGCCTGAGATTGTGTTCCTCTGCCCTAAACTTGTATTTATTTCTCAATGAACTCAGAGCTCACCCTGACCTCCAAATAGACACATGCATGTGAAGCGGCAGGCTCAGTGAGGTCAGGCCGCTGCTACCGGGGAATGATTGATTAACAGTTGGACATACTGTGGCTGATTTTGGATTTATACAAAAAGCACTCCCACATATGATGTGTTTCAGTGTTTTCATACCACGAGATGGCACTAGAGTATCATGAAGTAGGCTATAAGGAATACTTTATGCTTGGGGGACACAAGGCAGTGACTTTGTGTTTTGTGTTATTTAATCCCTAATTAAGCACCATATAGTTTTGAGTCTGGCTAAATCATTGACATGAAGTATCACTTTGTTTGTGTTTATGTTGGTGGTCATCAGTAGTTCAGTGTTATAATAATATATAATTTTATATTGTATATTATACTTGATGATAAGGTATTTTTAATTTGCTAATGATATTCACTTTGAGTGATTTGATATAAGAACAGTATCATTTATTGATAATGCAAGTTATTAGAGTGTGTGTCTTTGGTCCACAACTATATTCATACATGAAGCCTACATTCACCATAAATATCTAAAGAATGGTAAAAGAGACTCATATTTGCATAAGAAGAAAGAAACTTCCACAACTGTGTAAAAAAACAGTACTATTTATAAGTTAGAACAGAATACAGTATTGACATTTTTAAGCACATAATAATTTACATTATTGCAATTGATGCACAGTTACAATAGTCATTAATTTTACCAGATGACACTTCAAAAATACATATTGCTTAGGATCATTCAGCACAATCAAGTGGGAGGGGATTTCTAAAGTGACAGAATATTGTTTTTTAATACAACTCTAAGAAAAATAACAAGTTACATAAAGACGTCAAAGACACATTTAAAAAGTTGTGAATAAATCATTTACATGTTTGGGGAACAGCACACATCACTGTTTCTTCATATTGCACGAACAGCATCACGCTGTTGCAAAATTAACTAACTAATTAACTAACAAACTTATTTATCTAACCATCACCTGAAGAGCTTTTTATAATGGCTCATGTCAAAGAAATACAAGTTTTAAATGTTATAGCTTTAAATTAAACCATCTCATTGTGTGCAGTACATGTAGGCGGTCTACATATAGTGAGACATTCTTGGCATCATATAAGGGTGGTTGTTGATTGTCACATCATTACACAGAGGGTAAGAGAGAAAGACACAGACAGAGAAACAATGAATGTGTTTATTAATCTAAAACAAATTATAAAGAAAAAGCATCTACAGGTGCTGGTCATATAATTAGAATATCATCAAAAAGTTGATTTATTTCAGTAAGTCCATTCAAAAAGTGAAACTTGTGTAATGTATACATTCATTCCACACAGACTGATATATTTCAAGTGTTCATTCCTTTTTAATTTTGATGATTATAACTGACAACTAAACCCCCAAATCAGTATCACAGAAAATTAGAATATTGTGAAAAGGTTCAATATTGAAGACACCTGGTGCCACACTCTAATCAGCTAATTAACTCAAAACACCTGCAAAGGCCTTTAAATGGTCTCTCAGTCTAGTTCTGTAGGCTACACAATCATGGGGAAGACTGCTGACTTGACAGCTGTCCAAAAGATGACCACTGACACCTTGCACAAGGAGGGCAAGACACAAAAGGTCATTGCTAAAAAGGCTGGCTGTTCACAGAGCTCTGTGTCCAAGCACATTAATTGAGAGGCGAAGGAAAGGAAAAGATGTGGTAGAAAAAAGCGTACAAGCAATAGGGATAACCGCACCCTGGAGAGGATTGTGAAACAAAACCCATTCAAAAATGTGGGGGAGATTCACAAAGAGTGGACTGCAGCTGGAGTCAGTGTTTCAAGAACCACCACGCACAGACGTATGCAGGACATGGGTTTCAGCTGTCGCATTCCTTGTGTCAAGCCACTCTTGAACAAGACACAGCGTCAGAAGCGTCTCACCTGGGCTAAAGACAAAAAGGACTGGACTGCTGCTGAGTGGTCCAAAGTTATGTTCTCTGATGAAAGTAAATTTTGCATTTCCTTTGGAAATCAAGGTCCCAGAGTCTGGAGGAAGAGAGGAGAGGCACAGAATCCACGTTGCTTGAAGTCCAGTGTAAAGTTTCCACAGTCAGTGATGGTTTGGGGTGCCATGTCATCTGCTGGTGTTGGTCCACTGTGTTCTCTGAGGTCCAAGGTCAACGCAGCCGTCTACCAGGAAGTTTTAGCACTTCATGCTTCCTGCTGCTGACCAACTTTATAGAGATGCAGATTTCATTTTCCAACAGGACTTGGCACCTGCACACAGTGCCAAAGCTACCAGTACCTGGTTTAAGGACCATGGTATCCCTGTTCTTAATTGGCCAGCAAACTCGCCTGACCTTAACCCTATAGAAAATCTATGGGGTATTGTGAAGAGGACGATGCGATACGCCAGACCCAACAATGCAGAAGAGCTGAAGGCCACTATCAGAGCAACCTGGGCTCTCATAACACCTGAGCAGTGCCACAGACTGATCGACTCCATGCCACGCCGCATTGCTGCAGTAATTCAGGCAAAAGGAGCCCCAACTAAGTACTGAGTGCTGTACATGCTCATACTTTTCATGTTCATGCTTTTCAGTTGGCCAACATTTCTAAAAATCCTGTTTTTGTATTGGTCTTGTATTGGTCTTAATCATCACAATTAAATGACAAACATTTGAAATATATCAGTCTGTGTGTAATGAATGAATATAATATCCAAGTTTCACTTTTTGAATGGAATTACTGAAATGATGATATTCTAATCATATGACCAGCACCTGTATATGTGCTGTAAAGACACATTTGTTCAGATGCAATACCCCCAGCCTTTGTCTTTTCATAGATGGAGATCAATTATATGAAAGTAGCCAGTTTCACGGGGGAATAACACAATCTGGATTTTACTGATTCAGATTTAGTTATGAAAGTTAAAGCTGGAATGAGATGTTGTACTTGTTCTCCCAGAGTACAACTAGACAGCTCTCAAAGTGAAAGAAATTTGTCAACAAACACTTAGTAACATTTACACAGCCTAGTGTATTAGTCTATTATTGTCTTATAAATAACTAAAAGATGCTTGTCATTATGGCTTCCAGAGGGGTACAGACCCCAGGGAACATGCACTCAACAATTTGTTGAGGGGAAACAGCTGAGCGATGGTCCTTCAGTTTTTTAAGGGGGTGGTCAGTCAGCAGTGAAATCTCAATCCACATCTGTGTATTCTGCATACTGTTCTTATGACTTGAACCTTCCAAATTTGACATGCTGATATGCTGGCCTCGCAGTCGGTTCATAGTGTCCTGGTGTCCCTCACTGGGTCCCATGCTTTGTTCTCACAGGCCAAGATACACTTTTCTGGTAGTCCAGCTTTGACTAGGTCCACTCTACTGTCAGGCCTCTAGGCTAGCTTGGCACATTGCTAGTAAGGAGAGAAGATAATAGGTGCATGTGTGGCCCTCAGAGGTCCTGGGGCAGGCCTAAAGAGCGTGGGGCTGATCAGTGGACCATGGATAAAGGCCGTGGGACCCGGCGGCAGCCGTAGTGCCAAGGGTCCGGAAGCCATGGTGCACAAGGCAGCTGGATTGAGGGGGCTGGTCAGGAACCCTGCCGGCAGGGTCTTGGATAGCTGTTTCTGCAGGGCCAGTTTAGTCTGAAACCAAAGACAAGAGACATTGTCGAAACAATATGTCTAAAGCTATGCTAGCAGTTCTGTGAAGCTGTATGTTCACGTACCGTGTGCTTAGAGTTAAATAATAAAATCAGCATGCTAACAAGTTCACAATGACAATGCTAATAAGCAGATGTTTAGCAGGTATGATAACCATCTTAGTTTAGCATGTTCACATGCTAAGATTTGCTAATTAACGATAGATGCAAAGTACAGATAAGGTGCATGGGAATATAATTAGTTTTGTAGGTCATATTTGGTCATAAATCAAAAAAAATTAGAATTTTGACCTGATGTTGGCACTAGGCAGAAAGTTAGATGATCACTACAGTTATTAGAATTGTCTGGGTATCATCAACTTAGGGTAACAAACTTTAATAAGCTTCATTCTGAGGCCTCTAAAATTATGTTAAAACAAGGCACTCATTTTGAAATAGCACAGACTTTTCACATAACAAATTGAGTCACTTATGTATTTGTATCAACCACTTGGCAGCCTTCAGACTTGCAAATATGTTGACAGGTGCCAAGCAGAGCTCACCTTTTGCATCTACTGAGTATGCAGTATGTATTGTATATGTTCTTTCATGACCATGTGCGATGTGGACAAAAATAAATGTAGTTTAATGTGTGTGTGTGTGTGTATGTGTGTGAGTGATTGTGTTTGACAAATTCTTACCGCTAAGACAGCACTGGGCTGTACTTTATTATAAGGAGTGAACTTCACCTTGACAGGCTTCCCAGCCAAACGCTCTTTGTGTCTCCTGCTATTCATGTGCTAAAAGGCGGCAGGGATATAAAGAACAGTGATTCAGTCAGGACAGCTCACTAGTAAGCCAAAGAGTAAACAAATTGAGTAGTTTTCCTTGTGGAATACAAAGGTTTTGCCATTTTTAGTTTTCATATAGTGGTCAGTGGTTTTTACAGTAGTAATATTTGCCAAATTAGGATAAACACCTGCTTTAGCTGTGTCTCTGAGTTGACAGACACCTGGCACATTTCACAGTGAAAAGGCTGGCTGGATACACCCACGACCGCTCTGGTCTTGCTGCCCATTCGCTGTTTAATTCGGCACATGGGCCTGGGTGATGATGTCACCTTGATCCTGCGTTGTGGCTGGCTGCTGGATGGGCCATCAAGCATCTGTTTGTGCTTGGACCCTATTTCATTCCAAACAAAGAGGACGACCATGTGTCAGAATCATGGTTAACATAAAAAATGGTTGTGACATTTTTAGGTCAAATGTTAATTGAAGCAATATCAGTAGCATTGCAGTACATACCACTACAGTGAGCTTCCAACTGGGAGCTAGAATTGACCGTCACTTTGCACGTGGGACAGTGGAGATGTTTTTTGTTGCTTTTGGTCTCCTTAGCCTCGTCCACCTTCACCACCTCCTCCTCACCTCCCGTGAAGCTCCCCTGAGGGCCACAATGTGTGGCCGAACTGGTGGCCGGGCTGCACCCTTTCCCAGGTGGACTGTCTGAAGGTAGATCAAAAAGCTGGGGGCCAGGGGAGATTTGTGGGGACAGCTGAGGAGAACGGAGCAAGATGGAGTCTGTGGATGAGGGCTGTGAGGAAAGAGTGGGCACTAGCAAGCTTCCCTGGCTGCTCTCTGGCTGCTGCTGTGCAGGTTGGGAAGTACTTGGGCCTGTGGATGGATGGATAAAAATAGATGAGCCCAATAACACTCGGTATAACAATATGATATTTATCTTGGCGCTTTATCCAGATAAGAATAAACATTTGTTAATCCAAAATCTAATGTTACTTTTATATAAACAATGAATTTGAGAGCACCCATTGTCATCCCCAAAACACTGTATAGGATTATAGCTGCTTCAATGTCACGCAGCTTGTGAAGTCAGAATAATTTTGGATCTTCAGAACTAATTTACTAATGATAAAACATTAAGGTTATATGACAACATTATGATAACAAACAAACGACATAGAGTTGAAAGAATGCAAACAAATGATGAATACCAGATATAAATGCAAAGGATGTGATTGTCAGTGATTTACAGTGATTACAGCATATCCAGTGGCAGACCGCAGTTTAAGTAATGAATATTCTATAATAATAATAATAATCCTTATTTGTAGAGCACTTTTCAAAAACAAGTTACAAAGTGCTTTAACAAGTGTAAAGACAATAATATCCAAGAGACAATAATACAAAAAACATGTCATATATCTATGTGATCTATGTCATATATCCCCTCTGATATCTGTCTTCTCAGTTCCTCATATACATACAATATATACACAATAGTTTATGACGTACTAAAATATAGTTGTAATTGGATATAAAGACATTCTTAAGTATTTAACAGTGTACATATTTGTCAACAATTATAACTTCTCCTATGAGGACTAACTTATATTAATACAACTGTGTTACTATATTGTCATTCATTATGAGTGCCCACAGGAGGATATATGGTTGCTGAAAAACACATTAATAAAACACCTACAACATTATAATGTAAGCTACTAAAACTTGATGTACTAGTTACAATATGAGAGGGAAAAAGTAAACACAGTTGTATAATACATTGATATTTATTCATTTAGTTTACGCTTTTATTCAAAGTGACTTACAATTGCTATTTATGTCTGGGGTCGCACGCCTCTGGAGCAACTAGGTGTTAAGTGTCTTGCACAGGGACAAATTGGTGGATGTGTCAGAGTGGGGAGTTGAACCCAGGTCTCCCGGACCACACCAAAGGCATGTATCTTATCCACTGCCCCATCACCACCCCATAATACCACAACCACCATCAATGTATAAAAGTATTTCCTTTTCGTATTCTCATCTACTTAATTTTCTTTCTTCTGTGTTTTCTCTCTTTTCTTCTGCCTTCTCAATCATTTCTCCTTTGTCTCCTTGTCTATCTGTCATTTGTTCTCTCCCTCTGTCACCATCAATCAACCATGGCAACCGCCGAATGTAACAAGCTTATCATTGTGTGGTTAGAGGGAAATTGATAGGTGCTGGAAGAAAATGGGAGGGGGGAGATCAATAATGAAAAGCAAAGCTTTTCAGAGTACAGAAAGGAAGATGGTGACATTTGTGTCGGGAAGAATGAGAAGGTGAGTGACAAATGACTGGGGGTAAAAGAAAGCAAAGTTGCTACGCGTACAGCAGCTATTTTGTTGGCAATGTTGTTGAAAAACCAATACCTATAACATTAAGAATATGGATCCAGGCTTGAAGCTACCAATAAGGACAGTCATGTCCTGTATTTTGTCTGGAAATTTGGGAATTTTTAACAAAGCGACAATAGAAAGTTACACATGGTGGGTTTTATAGGCAGATTTGAGTGTTTTTTGGCACAATAACAAGTAAAACTAGATCATGTGCACAAGGACAGTGAAGGCATACCATCGCATATCTTCATTTTTGCGCATATAATTGCAGCACTCTGCACCAAATGGTTGGGTAAAGTGCAATATAAAGTGGGTGGCCATCAGTTTATACACTGGAACACTTAAACAACACAATGTAACTCCAAGTCAATCACACTCCTGTGAAATCAAACTGTCCACATAGGAAGCAACACTGATTGACAATCAATTTCACATGCTGTTGTGCAAATAGAAAAGACAACAGGTAGAAGTTATAGGCAATTAGCAAGACACCCCCAAATAAAGGAGTGGTACTGCAGTTGGTGACCACAGACCACTTCTCAGTTCCTATGCTTCCTGGCTGATGTTTTGGTCACTTTTGAATGCTGGCGGTGCTTTCACTCTAGCGGTAGCATGACACGGAGTCTACAACCCACACAAGTGGCTCAAGTAGTGCAGCTCATCCAGGACGGCACATCAATGCGAGCTGTGGCAAGAAGGTTTGCTGTGTCTGTCAGCGTAGTGTCCAGAGCATGGAGGCGCTACCAGGAGACAGGCCAGTACATCAGGAGACGTGGAGGAGGCCGTAGGAGGGCAACAACCCAGCAGCAGGATCTGCTACCTCCGCCTTTGTGCAAGGAGGAGCAGGAGGAGCACTGCCAGAGCCCTGCAAAATGACCTCCAGCAGGCCACAAATGTGCATGTGTCTGCTCAAACGGTCAGAAACAGACTCCATGAGGGTGGTATGAGGGCCCGACGTCCACAGGTGGGGGTTGTGCTTACAGCCCAACACTGTGCAGGACGTTTGGCATTTGCCAGAGAACACCAAGATTGGCAAATTCGCCACTGGCGCCCTGTGCTCTTCACAGATGAAAGCAGGGCACATGAGACAGACGTGACAGAGTCTGGAGACGCCGTGGAGAACGTTCTGCTACCTGCAACATCCTCCAGCATGACCGGTTTGGCGGTGGGTCAGTAATGGTGTGGGGTGGCATTTCTTTGGGGGGCCGTACAGCCCTCCATGTGCTCGCCAGAGGTAGCCTGACTGCCATTAGTTACCGATCCTCAGACCCCTTGTGAGACCGTATGCTGGTGCGGTTGGCCCTGGGTTCATCCTAATGCAAGACAATGCTAGACCTCATGTGGCTGGAGTGCGTCAGCAGTTCCTGCAAGAGGAAGGCATTGATTCTATGGACTGGCCCACCCGTTCCCCAGACCTGAATCCAATTGAGCACATCTGGGACATCATGTTTCGCTCCATCCACCAACGCCACGTTGCACCATAGACTGTCCAGGAGTTGGCGGATGCTTTAGCCCAGGTCTGGGAGGAGATCCCTTAGGAGACCATCTGCCACCTCATCAGGAGCATGCCCAGGCGTTGTAGGGAGGTCATACAGGCACGTGGAGGCCACACACACTACATTTTGACTTGTTTTAAGGTGTGGTTTAGTGTGGTTTTCCACTTTGATTTTGAGTGTGACTCCAAATCCAGACCTCCATGGGTTGATAAATTTATTTCCATTGATAATTTTTGTGTGATTTTGTTGTCAGCACATTCAACTATGTAAAGAAAGGAGTATTTAATGACATTATTTCATTCATTCAGATCTAGGATGTGTTATTTTAGTGTTCCCTTTATTTTTTTGAGCAGTGTACTTATTAAAGGCCTGCTTATTTGCCACTACTGACTCAAAACTCTAATTAAGCTACACTATTTTGCCAAAAGTTTTAGGACATCCCTCCGCATCATTGAATTCAGGTGTTCCAATCACATCTTTGGCAATAGGTGTATAATATCAAGTACCTACGCATGCAGACTGCTTCTACAAACATTTACAATAATTCCATTGGTGAAATTTCCTCACTACTGAATATTCCACGGTTAACTGTTAGTGGTATTATAACAAAGTGGAAGCGATTGGAAACAACAGAAACTCAGCCACGAAGTGGTAGGCCACATAAAATAACAGAGCGGAGTCAGCGCATGCTGAGGCGCAGAGTCAATATCTACAGACCTCCAAATGTCAGGTGGCCTTCAGTTTAGCTCAAGAACAGTGTGTAGAGAACTTCATGAAATGGCCCAGCAGCTGCATCCAAGCCTTACATCACCAAGTGCAATGCAAAGCATCAGATGTAGTGGTGTAAAGCATGTCGCCACTGGACACTAGAGCAGTGGAGACGTGTTCTCTGGAGTGACGAGTCACGCTTCTCTGTCTGGCAATCCAATGGACGAGTCTGGGTTTGGTGGTTACCAGGAGAACAGTACTCGCCTGACTGCATTGTGCCAAGTGTAAGGTTCGGTGGAGGGGTTATTATGGTGTGGGGTTGTTTTTCAGGGGTCGATGTCATTAACCTTAATGTGCATGTAAAGGCAGGCAATCCAAAACTATTGGCAAGATAGTGTATATTTCAACATCTACACAGGTATGAATCTTCAAAAAAACTGCAGTTAGAAAGATATTTGCTTACATTTCTGTGCATCTGCGATGCTATTTTTTGCTACTAGCATTAGCCACTGCTAATGCCTCCTGTACAACTGTGCTCAGCAATTTGTGCTGGTCTTCTCTGCCTCAGGGTCTCCATTCTTTTAATCTTCTGCTGTTTAGTTTGATTTTGACAAGAAAACATGTAGGCACACACGACACCTCAACTTCTGGCCCATTTTCTACACCCTTTGAAATGTCCATTTTTAAAGTGACAACACATTTCATAATAGGAACAGGGAGCTGTAAGTGGGAGTTGTGTTGAGCCACTGTTGATTTAAAACCAAAAATCTAAATTATAAGGAAGTAACATAACTACATCCATCCTCAGATAGCATCTCTTTTTAAGAGCTTTAGGGCATCTCATCTTGGAGAATGTCTTAGCCTGATGGGAGTAATTGCCTATCTGACAGAGCCAATGATAGCAGGACAGGTAATAGCTGGTAATTAGCCAGCTGAGTGGCAGCTACCAAGCCTTAGTGCTTACGTCTCTCCAATTCCCACTAATTACTCAGAGGATGGAGAGAGGGGCGCCTTTAAAAAAAGCCAGACTTGTACCTGTTATATCTTTCAAATGCGAGTATGTGGGCACCGTTCCTCCTCCCATCTTCCCCTTCTCTCTGTCTCTGTCTTTTCCTGTTGTGGATGAACTGTGTCCGTTCTTCTGCCGGTTCCTCTGGGTCTCCAAGGCCTTTAGCTTGCGAGCATGTTTGTGACCTTTGTAGTGGGCCTCTGCCTGGGTCTGACCATGACACACACACACACACACACACACACACACACACACACACACGAGCAGAACAAACAGGAGAAAGTCAGTGTAGAGTATATGAACAGAAATAATTACATGATTAAATTAGAGAAGGCCAGCATGGAATCAGTAAACTGTAATATTTCCATCTGTTCCGTCTATTTGGCTTCAAATGCTCCCGTGGAGTTAGGGAGATGCGATTGAGCATTTGACTCGGAGGAAGAGTCACATCACCGTGTTGGTCATCATTGTCATGGTTGTGCACAAATGAGTATCATTTGGACTCATGGCATCTCATGACCATCCTCTGAGCTCACTGGCTCATCTAGCCACTGATTTGTTCTGACACAAAATGGCCTGAGTTTGCCAACCTGCAACACAAAATGACCTATCTGCCTTCCTCTGTGAGAGAAAACACATTTGTGGGCAGCGCGACAACAGATGCACGCAGATTTGGGATCCTAAAATGGCTCTGCATGGCTGTAGATAAAGCATGATGTACTCTACAAAGGGAGATCAGCTTCCAGCAAGTAGAAGCACACCAACAGTGAAACAGCACCACAGAAGCATGGTAATCCACACACACACACAATATTTCCACACAGCACATCAAATCTATACATTTTAAATTAGCTACTTAGCTTCAGGAAACAGAGTAAAGCTTTTTGTTAATTATTTCATTATACATCTCCAGATATCTTCGTGTTCATTTTTCAATAACATTTTCTAGGACAATTAAGCAAACTCCATCTGCTGATCAAGACCTGAGTGGCAGTTAAAAGCAAGCGAATCTTAGGTTTGTCATTCAATACTGAACTACAACAGTGCACTAAATAGACTGTAGATCTCTGCGAGGCCTGGTATTACCAATTGGCGTATGAATAACACGCCTTGTCTTAAGTAATTTAACGTGTTATCTCAATGCCTTTTTTGCTTGCCATTTTACACCACTGGAGGCCGGTGTTTATGTCCCATATGAAACCAAAAGTCAACGCTGACTTATTTTAATTTGTTAACTTAACGTACATAGGTAACTTGACTGGCAAAACTAATGTACTTACCTACCGGCCGGTCAAGAGGAGCGAGAAGTCAGCAGTCAATTGTGGTTTAAAACAAGAGCAGTCAATACAATAGGTTTTTACTTTAATTTTCAAATTGTGAATTACTGGAACCACGGGAGGTCCTTAAGCATACAGTCATAAATGTGTACAAACATTGTTAGGCTGATGGGTCCGGTAGTATGTGAGATTAGCTGCAGACAGATACACACACGAACACATACACACGACCAAACACATGATCCCTTCGAGGCTTACGCCTAATGGGAGATACTAAAAATGTTAACAGATGAAGAAATACATTAGTGTAAATAGACCTTGTTCACAGCAGACATTTTGAATTTTCATAGTAGGAATAGCACAGATAAATAGTGGCTCTGTTCAATGTTCAAATGCATGAACAATACCAGGACTCTGAAGCATTATTTTGATTATTTACAGCTTTGCTTTCCTACTGTGACATGTCAGAGTATCTTCTGTGAAAAACAGAAGATACTCTACTCTCGGAAAGTTCGAATAGCTTCAGCAACTTGAGCAAACTATCCATGACATCAAATGTACAGAACAAGGAGAAGTTGAAGGATACGTCTGGTGACATTCTATATTTTTCTTACTGCCAATAACTCCCATTAAAACACCAAAACAAACAATTGATCTTACTAGCAAGTATTGTCTGTGTAGCCAAAGCGTAAAGCCTAATTTGACGATTATTGTTTGAAAATAATACAAACATTTGAATGTTCCTTCATTGCAAAGCACATGGGCAATGTAATTTTTTAAAATTCAGTTTCACATACATCGTGTAGGCAATTAAACTCACTAGAGCACCAAATGTGTATTAATCTGCCACTGAAAATAGTCCCTAACAAATGGTTTATTTATTCCTGTTTAAATAACATGCTAAAATGCCACAGTCTTCTTTTCATGGGATTTGTCAACAATAAGAAAAATATTAAACATAACCAGCCTAATCCTTTAAGAGCACACATTTTCGCAGCACTAGTGCCTTTCTGTATATGAAAGACACAAGTACACACCCTAAATCAACAGAGTCTGAGTTTGGAACAGTGTAACAAGACTTCAAGTATCTAGCTTCACATGAGGCAGTTCGATAATTTGTCATTGCTCAAATTATCTGTACAAGTTTCCAGGCACACACTGTACACAGTGCAGCCTCTGAGCACAGTGTGCAGAGCCAATCTGTTAGTGACTGTGTGCGTAGAGTAGTGGGGTACAATTCTGCCCATCAACACTTTGCATAAAGCTTGGGCTGCTACACAAACAGAAAGGGTACCACCGTGGGTCAAAGTGTCTGGTGGGGAATACAGGGCTGAGCAAAGGGTGTACGACCCCTTTGGCTACGTTGAATGTCAGTGCACACTGACCATTCAGCGTGATTTTCAACTGAGCCAGAGGGAGGAATCTGCCCCCATCTGCATACCAGCATACTATCTGGCATGCCAGCATAGTATGAGTTCACTATGTTCCACCATAGTAACTTACAGAGAGAATAACATATACAACATGTAGAATAAAACAAAGATCTTCTGTTAGACACCTGAAGGAGACTTTCAGGACCTCGACTCAAGAAGCTTTAAGCCTTCTCACACCACTGATGCCTGAACCCTTCATACACAGTGAGCAACAACTATCCTTCACAAAAGGGCAGCAACATTAGAATATTATGTGTGATACTTCAGGCTTAAATCTTTCATGCTTTTTTCAGTGCGTTTAGCAGCCATAAAGGAATAATTAGAAAAGTTACAAGTCTATTCTTTTTATATGCACATCGCTTGTGTAATATACAGGTGCTGGTCATATAATTAGAATATCATTCAAAAAGTGAAACTTGTATAATGTATACATTCATTCTACACAGACTGATATATTTCAAGTGTTCATTACTTTTAATTTTGATGATTATAACTGACAACTAATGAAAACCCCAAAATCAGTATCTCAGAAAATTTGAATATTGTGAAAAGGTTCAATATTGAAGACACCTGGTGCCACACTCTAATCAGCTAATTCACTCAAAACACCTGCAAAGGCCTTTAAATGGTCTCTCAGTCTAGTTCTGTAGGCTACACAATCATGGAGAAGACTACTGACTTGACAGTTGTCCAAAAGATGACCATTGACACCTTGCACAAGGAGGGCAAGACACAAAAGGTCATTGCTAAAGAGGCTGGCTGTTCACAGAGCTCTGTGTCCAAGCACATTAACCCTATAGAAAATCTATGGGGTATTGTGAAGAGGAAGATGCGATACGCCAGACCCAACAATGCAGTAGAGCTGAAGGCCACTATCAGAGCAACCTGGGCTCTCATAACACCTGAGCAGTGCCACAGACTGATCGACTCCATGCCACGCCGCATTGCTGCAGTAATTCAGGCAAAAGGAGCCCCAACTAAGTACTGAGTGCTGTACCTGCTCATACTTTTCAAGTTCATAATTTTCAGTTGGCCAACATTTCTAAAAATCCTGTTTTTGTATTGGTCTTAAGTAATATTCTAATTTTCAGAGATACTGAATTTGGGATTTTTATTAGTTGCCAGTTTTAATCATCACAATTAAATGAAATAAACATTAGAAATATATCAGTCTGTGTGTAATGAATGAATATAATATCCAAGTTTCACTTTTTGAATGGAATTACTGAAACAACTTTTTGATGATATTCTAATTATATCACCAGCACCTGTATATGTGTGTTAAAGATCTCATTTTCACAGTCATCCATCTTGTCTTCATACTGAACAAAGAGCTCCAGCTTTCCATTATTTAGGGACATTATATAGTCTATTGTAGAAGCAAAGAATGGCCACAATATTTTTTTATTTAATGAGCAACTAAATATCAAATTGTGAAATTTAACCACTATTGAAGAATTAACATTGACATTTAATTACCACTGAATTTAAGGCACTGAAATATTAAACCTTGGAAACCATCTGTATTTATGTGGTTTGAATGCCATGCCAGTCTTTCGGTCCACCACTTTGGTCTGGACTGAAATACCTTGTCAGCTATAAACATGTCATGTAATTTCGGACAGACATTCATGTAGAAGGAATCCTAATGACTTTGGTGATAATGACCGCCATATATCTTCATCACAGCCATGAAAACATGGATATTGTTTTATATAACAACTAATATTCAGCATGATAGCCTACTGTTAAATCATGTTAAAATGTTAGCTTTGGTTAAACTTACATATTAATTTAAATAATAATAGGATTCATAATTGTGTTGAACTATGGATGGCAAGCTGAAACTGAGTTTTCCAATAAAAAAAAAAATCAATGACTGTGATAATGAAACCAACTATATGTACTACCCAAGCAGTGGGTATAAAATATGAAAAGACTCTAAATATTCAGAACTATTCCTTTAGTCAATTTTCTTTGTCAAGTGCAAATTCCAGCCCTGGTGGGACCTGGTACCTGCCTGTAACCTGGCATCCAACTCCTGGGTCAAACAGCACTCTCAGCTCAGCTGCAGGTAACACAGAGAGGAGGAGGAGACAGCCTGTTAGAAAACAGACTCCTGACAATATCGCTGTATGACCAAATGTACAGAGCAGAGAGAAAATGACGACATAAGGGTTGTATGATGTGCTCGCGCCAGTGTCTTGCTTCCTTCAAGTTTTAAAACTGACAAAACGAAGAGTCATTGTCATTCCGGCAGGTTACTCCTAACAATATAAATGCAAATATGTATAAACGAAGTCCATAGGAATGGGAGCCAAATGAATATGAATAGGGAGGTGTGATAGGGAGAACAAAGCAACAGAACTGACTGGTTTACTTTTAAGAACCCAGTGGCCGAGTAGAAAAACGGAAGCCGAATAGAAATATATCGTTACTGATGAGACTGATAAAGAATGTCCTGCTTCAAGATTGATTTTAGACCCATAGGATGCAAAAATATGATATGTGATGCAAATGTGTGGACGCTTCACTGCAAAAATAATCAAAAGATGAACTTTAGATGACAGTTCATGAGACAATAAGTCATGTTTGTGTTTTGAAGTATGAACGTTGTTTAGAAAAGCCTACTCTCAGCAAACATCAAGAGGGTCAGAGGGTCTCACAGTGAGTGAGATAATGTTGATTCAACACTCCCTTCACTTTCTTATATAAAAACTAGAGCTGATTTCCTGCAGTGAATTAAAAAGATATATCAGACCTTTCTTTGGGCTTTTGTTTTATCCTGTTTATTAGATGAAAGCTCAAGGAAAGAAACCAAAACTTTTTCCTCTGTGATATGAGAAAGCATTGAACAAGAGTGACTGTAGACTTACAGTGGAGTTGAAGCGCAGGTGACAGATGTTACAGGAGATGATGGGTTTCTTCTTGGGTGGAGCCACGCCAAAGGTGTGGTTGATCACTGCCTTCTGCACCGGGTCCATCTACAAGGTGAAAACAGACAAAAACACACATACATAAACAGGTTAGTCCTGCTTCATGCTCCCTCTAATAGACATTACAGTATAATAAGGATGAAGTTGGCGATACCTTTTGGTTTCAGAGAGTAGTGCAAACAGGCAATTTCAGTAAAGCAGTAACCCTACAATGACACAAATGCCATAAGGAAAAATGACATGTAACATTTTAGGGGCATCCTGTAGCATTAAAGGTCTAAGACCCAGTTCAGGTCTGGCCTTTAGGATCTTCGTTCCCAGTCACCCCTCCTCTCTACATTACTATTGCTCCTATTTTACTACTGTCCTTATCTCCTGCCATCTCTCCATGATCAAAGAATAGCAACAATATTAACAAAAAAGACTTAAAAACTTAAATGATGAGGGTGTTTGTGACGTTGTCCTCTTCAGAAAATGTATTTGTCACAATTTTAACTTTTAACCCACACACTCACTAATATGCATAACATTTTCAGTGGTGAGAAAATGTGACTTAAATCATTTATTTCATTATTCAATGAAAGTATAAAAGAAAAAAGTGTTTGAGATACTAACAAATTTCCTTACCATCAATAAAATGGAATTTAGTACAAAACCCTGTTCTATAACAGATACATTTTTTTTTAACATTAATAACATTTTAAGCAAATAGCTTTCTGTCCCTGTTAGGACATGTTTTATTGTGTTTTTGGGTCGAATTACTTAAATACAGTGCATTTAAATTTGTTGTCATGCTGTGTTCTTAGTATCATTGACTTTTATCATCTTTTTATCTTTCACTTGATTATGAGGCCCAGAATGAGCACACATATCCAAACTTTTAATCATTATTAATATTCTCCACACTACCTCATCCTCTTTCAGATCAGTGATGAACAACCTGTCAGTGCTGATTTGAGTGATTTTTTATTGTGATTTAATGAAATACTGCACGTTGTGATCTTGATGCCGGGGTAGAAAAGCAATCGAATGCTACAACACAAAAATGAAAAGAAAAAAAATAATTAAATAAAAATCTGTTATCTGGGGCTGTTGCAAGACATGTATAAGCACAGTCAATCATTTCATTCGATCCAAATGAAATGACTGGCTGGTCTGCCTGCCTGTCTTCCTGCGCGCACTCTGCCCGTACGATCGCTGTACATGAAAATGTGTTTTGGAGGAGTGTCTTTGGAGGGAGACTTGGAAGCGAGGTTGGGATTTTTTCAGTTGGATACCTTCAAAATCTAGCTCACCTACCATAGCTTTAAACATGGATTTAATTGGTGAAGGGAGATTTGTCGTCATAAGCCAAAAATTAATGCTACATAATGCTAAGGTTTTGAAGAATTACATTTATTTTAAAATAATAAATACTGAAGACAGTTCTGAATTCACACTTTTTAAATAACGCTATTTCATTTTTTTTTTTTTATCCCTATGGTGCAGCTGTGTTAGTCAAGTCATATTTTTAGCATTAGGTGTCAGTCAGGAATCCCTTCCCAGCCACCCACATGCCTGATACATTTAGCACGTTCCTCAGATGTGTGTAATTAAGGGTTAAAGCTAAATGTAGACTATGAAAGTCTTACACTTCATTATTTAGAGCCAGACCAAACATATATGTGTCTGTGTGTGTGTTTGAGAGAAGTGTTATATTTGGGATGTCTGAATTATATTTTTACCACTGATCAGAGCCAAGTAATATTTAGAATCTGCCAATGCAGTCCTGATGCAATATTTATAGTTTCCTACATAACATGGCCACAAAGTGCACGTTTATAAAAGACATCATTGATGGTTCAACAGTTCTACTTCCTTTAATAGATTACCTTTGTTAAACAAAATAAAAAGACAGAGGTTAGACTTACAAACAATCACAATAAAGCAAAAAATTTGAATAACCTTTAAAATAATATTGTCCGTTTCCTCTATGCCAGAGGTCACTAATTGGATCGCGGTCTGGATCCGGACCCAGCTGCCGTCCTCTCTGGACCCCGACGTACATCTGATTTATTATCGAGAATTACTACCTCATGACGGAGCGTTTCTATTTTAACCCGCGCAGCATTTACTGTACTGGTTTAGCAGCGCAGGAAACTCACTGACCAATTGCATGTGTTCCAATCGTGTCCTGTGATGCTCCTCAGCCAATCAAACCTGTGCATTCTGATAAGCATTGAGAGCCGAGTCCGCAAGTGAGATACACAGAAGAAGAGAGGAGATGACAGAGAAGAGAGACTGCACATGGCTTTTTATCAAGAATGTACAGATTCTTACACGGGCAGTTCAAAACCAGAATATCTCATATATCTCCAGTCCTTGCCACAGCTCATGTTTCTCACTGAACATGAGAATGTAGGAAAGCGGTAGTCTACTATATAAGAGGGAATGAAAGAGAAGGCCACGACCCGACCCCGGATAAGCAGATGAAGATGGATGGATGGATGAAAGAGAAGATGAGTTATTAAAGCTGTTCATTTGTTAAGATGTGTTGAGTGTTTATTCTAAAATTGGTTGGGACTACAATCACTTCAAGCTACACTTCTGAAACTGTGCACTTTATTTTAGTTTACTTAAATTTAGAGTTTATTATTAGAGTAGTTATTTACCATCTCTCCAGTTTGATGTGAAAACTGAAAGGAAATGTTGTTGAAATATTATTTGATTTGACAGTCAGTCGTTGACTAAAAACATGTTGATACATCTATACGTTATGACACTGAATGATAACGCAGGTTAGTCGATATGATATTCCGGACCTTTGCTTCGGGAAATTTTCAGTAACTGGACCTCTTTGAATTTATACTCTTTGCTAATGTTAGTGTTCTAGTCATCCAGTCAATATTAACAAGCTACAGAACTTTAATCAACCAAGTAAGTGAGCTTAACTGACAAGACAGTGAGTTGTTCTGTTCTAATGTGTCATTTGGACTTAATTTGTTTGAAGCCACAACACATGTCATGTGATGTTTAAAATGCTAATAATAATAGCTTTATTTGTATACGTATGTTTGACTCCAAGTGGACCTGACTGCAAATGACACACTTGGGTCAAGTCTGATTTATTATTTAGTTTAAGGGGTTGAGTGCAGGATTAAAATATTGTGATCTCAGATTTTAATACAAGATTTCTTTACATCTCTGGGTATTTTTAATAGTGATCTTGTAAAGAGATGACAGAAAACAAGTCTGTACTCAAACCAGAGACATTGCAGTTCATGGTCAGCACTTTAAACCCCCAAGCCACACAGAGGACCCCATTTCAGTTTAGTTTGATGTAAAACACTCATTAATCTTTCCTTAAGATTCTGTTTGGGGCTGGAATCACTTTTTGAGTGCCCATTGTAGCTTAATGTGTGATGTGTGTACATGAAAAATGTGATATGGATTCTTACCGAGTTGAAATTGGGAAAGAGGCTGAGCGGCGAGGAGCTGTTGACCCTGAGCGGCAGGAAGTGCTCCAGCTGGGCATGAGTCTGGGGCTGGAGGGGTCGACCTGGCAGAGACAGGGAGCCCAGGAGTGGGTGGACCTGGCTCTGGGAGAGGGCACCTACAGGAGAAAAGATCACATTTGAGTAAACACATCATTGCGACAACTGTTTTCTTTAACTACTCCTTCATCCTGTTCAGATTCTCTATCTTAAACACGTGTGAATTTGCAGGGAGATAAATCGCCCTTATACACACGCAAGAGGGTAAAGACAGAGTTTAGCACACCGCATATGACATCAACACCCATTCCCACAGTGACTGATTCACTCAGTAAAGCTTTAATGACTTCAGTAATGGCAGGGGATAAATGATGAGAGGCTTTGTGTGGCCTTTTCCCGCTTTACAAGTCCATAGTTTATCTTGACAAATGTCTCTGGCCTTTAAACACAACACTAGTGTGTGTAATTGTGTGGTTTTGTTCTTCCTCAGATCCTGCAAATTAGTCAATCAATATAAAGAGAAAAGAATTGCAAGGGGCTTTTAAGACAAAAAGCAAATAAAGACTATACTTGCTTTTGGTGCTCTCCAATTTTCTGTCTTCTCGCATACATTACTTTACCTCTATAGTGTTTGTTTTGATGCATCCCACAGCAATTTCACCAACACATTTTGCTCTGAAATCTCCTTTCACATGACCTCTCATCTTATCACGCTTCATTTTGGTTGGCCTAAATGCTTTCAGACTGCTCATGCTTTAAAGAGCACACCGGCACTGACCTTTGTCTAGACCCAAAGTAAACAGTAGCGCGCTCACATTAAAATACGTCAGTGTCTTACATAAGTATGGTAATTGCAGAAGGTTTGTAATGCCTGAATGCTGAAAGTCCTGAGGTTTGTTAAGTTAAAAGGTCATGTGTAAAATGACATGGTAAGTAAGCAGTGGATCTGGATTGAATTTATATGTGGTTGTTGTGTTTGTTTTGATGATGTAAAGGCTGTTCCTTTAGATATTTAGCAACAGGAATAGTAACATTGAAGCAAAAATTTGTGTGGCATGAAAACTTGGGCTTCTTTAGTGCAAGGAAACCAGATGTTCTTGGCGATAATTCCACTTGCAATTTCAAGTTATAACTATCCAATATCTTATTTAAATAATATAAATTCATGTACACCATGTACTTGTAACATACACTCCCCTATCATTTTAGAGTCCTGTACATAACTGTTTGTATATTCTGTATGTATACACTCATCTATGCAATGCGAAGCACCTTTCCATATCAATACATGACAATACACAGTATCTGCTACACTTGCACTATTATTGTATATATTTTTCACATTTAGTGTATAGTTCTAGTTTTTAGTTTAAGTTAATTTTCTCTAAATTTGAGGTATTTCTTTTTATGATTCTATTTACTTATTTAGCCCCCCCCCCCCCCACACACACCTCTCTCTCTCTCTCTCACACACACACACACACACTCAACTGATATTAAAGGAAAACTTGCAGTGTGTTGATTTTCATGATTTTCAATGTATTACAGTAAGTTGTTTTGCAATGGGTTGTGGTAAAATTAAATAGCTGCTTTTCTCTCTCTTGTTTGTGGTTTCTTATAGTTTCCAGAATTTTACTGTTGAAACTCCTTTTAGGAAACAAATGTTTGATCAAAATATCTTGAACAAAATGTGGGATGGGAAAACCAGGCACACTGCAAATAGCTGTCTTTTCTCTTTTCCAATACAATATCAAGTATTTTTCTTCCATTTGAAAGACAGAGCTTGACTTGGTAGGGATTTAATGTTTGATGATTGAGGGTGGAAGGGAGGTTTGGCCTTGACGGGACGGAAAATGCCAAGAGGAGTCTGATGAGACCGCTGAAGAGAGAGCACTGGCTGGTAGGAGGAACGTTCTGCATAGAAGACATGAATGAAATTGACTGATGAAGCCAGAAGGATTAGCATACCAGATGACAACTGGATGATGGAGAGAGATGACTCACTAACTTTAGATTTTGGAAAGATATGCAAGGAATCCACACTGTACATTTAACCTTACTGAGAAATGAATCTCTTTCTGTGAAGAAATAAATTTTCCTTACATGAATTTCAAAGACAAGAGAAGAATTCAATACATTGGTATATGCTGACGTTTGCAGCATATACCACCAAAACATGGATTATGAATAAGTGTACTGTTCATGAACACCTGGAGATTTTCTCTAAATACTGCAGACAGTGAGTACAGTCAGTGTTAAAGTTGAAGTCTAATTATGTTATCATAAAACTGAAAAGCACAGCAACAAGAAAAGCAATTTTCTGCTTCGTTCACCTCTGGATTTCAGGTTTTATCTCTGGGGATGAGGCAGGTTTGAAAGTCCTTGAGCATTAGCATATTTGTACAAATCTGGTCCCACATTCAAAAAGGTTCTTAAAGCCTGAGCAAAGCAGAGAGACATGATAGCAGAGGAAGGGGAAGCGAAAAGAAAAACAACCGCTGCAGATTCAAAACACGCTCAAAGAAATTTTATGAACAGTACCTGCAGAGGGAATACTTAATACAGGCACATAGTTTTAGCAATCATATAAAAAGAGGTTAGAGAGAGATAAAAGATGTTCAATTGTTCAATGCAGGTGACCCGGGATTTACTTTAGGCGACAACGAATAGAGCAGGCACAGTGGATGTAACACACCACAGCATCTGTCTTTTTTATCTTCACCTTTTTTCTGACAGTGAAAATGGCAAAAGATAAAAAGCCTGCTGTAATTTGTTTTAAACTGTAAAAAATTGTTTGATTTTTAGCATTTTTAACGTTCACCATGTTAGCACACAAACTAACATTAGCTAATTAGCACTGAATACAAAGGATAGCTAAGGCTGATAGGAATGTGATTAGTTTTGAAGGTATTTGGTCTTAAACCAAACAATTGGGGAAATCAAAATGTTCACCTAATTATGGATCAAGATGAAAGTTGAGGAATCACCAAAGTTATTACAGTTCATCCTGTGGGGGACATGAATGTCTGTACCAGATTTTATGTTGATACCTAACCTCATGGTGGCCCTACAGGAAAAGTCAGGGGATCAACAGAGTCATTAGGCTTCATCATCTGGGCACCATGAATGTCTGTACAAAATGTCATCAGTTGTTGAGATATTTTCAGCCTGGATGGAAGTGGAGGACTGACTGACCAACTGTCACTGCCATAGAGCCACACTGCCAGCCAGGTTAAAATGTATTTACAATAAGAATAAAAAAAATTGTGGATCAATCAAATTTTAATTTTACGTTCTGGGAATCGAATCACTAAAAAGATGAATAACTAAAATAACTGCTGCACACCAGTGAGGGATTAACCTCAGGCCAGCACTACATCACAATCTCAAACCAGACAGACACAAAACTGAACAAACTGAAACTGCCTGTCTGGAACGCTGAATAGCAAACACAAAGAAAAGGGAATTTCTATCTGATTCAAAGCCAGAAATTGGCAGTTATATTTCTACACTACAGAGAATATGACCAAAAAAACAGACAATCACCACAATCAAAATACAGAGAAAGGACAAACAAGTCTTGGCTACCAAAAAAAGACTACAGGTAGGTTTAAAACTCCAATGTTGAGCGAAAGACAGAGATGCGAGAAATGATTAATGTATGGAGAAATCTTGCCTCAATAATCTGTAACCTTTGAGTAAAAAACAGGACTGCATGTTGGGGGACAGCTAATGCTAAAATGAACTCCGAATCAACCTAATAAAGCCAAGTTGTTATATCTTAATCTTTATCAAACATAGCTGTCTTTTAGCAGTTTATTCTGTTTATTCAGTGATTTACAGGCACTCCAACCATGTACTATTTAGATTAGAATTTCAAATGAGTTGAGGGATTAAAGATGATTATTACTGTTTATTTGATCCTGCATGTGTCGTGTGCACCACAAATCTCCCTGGAAAAGACACGCATACACAAAAACACACTGAAATAACATGTGTTTACTCATTTGATTTGTTTTTGATGAATTCCAATTTCATCTAAGTGCTCCACCAGGACCGGATCCCAATAGTTTATTGAATTGCGTTACACTAAATAGAGAGCGAATGACAGAGTAGTGAGAAATGAGAGACAGAGTTAGAGAGAGAGAGACTGAACCATGGGCTGATGAGTTTTTTACCCTCTGCTAGGCCGATGTGCTTAATCTGCCTTTCAGTATGACTTTTGGGGACATTGATTCCCTCTCCTACACAAATCTGAAATTGATCTCATTAATCTCCTACGCATACATTCACAAAACACGATGTTTAATTAACTGAATTTTGAGCTGAAAAATCTAGAATCTGTGAGAGCATCATCAGGCAACAAGAAGAACATGCTTCTGACAGGACTGTCCCTTTCAAGCTACCCGTCTCGACTGCATCCAAAAAGTGTCACAAAAGCTTCCAGATAGACTAAAGCATGTGTTAGCCAGCAGGCCTTGATTAGTTTTTATAAATAGTCACTCATCACTTTGAGAACTTCATGAACTCGAACTCATGAACTCAATTACTGTACCCATAACCTAAAATGAAAAGGTTGAGTAGAGGGATTTAGTAAACCATTTATAGGAAATAACCTCACATACAAGGGGGGGTGGGTCAGCAAAACTACCACACATGCAGTGTTGGGCAGTAATGCTGTAATACTATTACTTTTCCCAGCAACTAGTAGTGTAAGGGATTACTGTTTCCAAAACAGTAATAATATTACAGTTATTAATCAAAGTCACAATGCGTTACTGCGTTACCAGAACGCGATTTGCATTGTTGTCCTTGACTCGTATGCACGATTGTGCGGCACATCACTGGCAGTTCAAGTCGAGAAGCTTATGTTATGCAAGTCGGCTGCTAGCCAAAAATAGACAAAGAGGGACATAAGTGTTCTTTTGACAAGTATTGCCATTATTGTGAGCTTGTCACATTCAAAGACGCAAAAAACACTCATGTCCGTTGTAAGCTTTGTGCAACTAGCAGAAAGTTTTTAACCATGAAAAATTTTAAAATCTAAATTTATTGAAGCATCAGCAAAAGCAGCACAGCAATGTGAAACTTGTAGAAGCACCGGGTCGACAGTGGCGTT